TGTTCCCCCAAGATTAGTCACGGCTTCATTTATCCGGGTCATTAGGGCCACCAAAACATGTGTCCTGCCTATAGAGCGTTCAGAATGTTCTGAGATGCCTGATTAGAGCTCCTTAGGAGTGAGCCTGAGAGTGCCTGGTTACCTGGCACCAAGTTTTGCCTGTTTTCGAGGGGGAATGGTTTGAGTTTCCCTGTAGCACCTGCTGGCCTGGAACTCACTATGTAGACCAGGACCAGGCTGGCTTCGATCTCACGAAGATCTGCTTGCCTCTGCCCCTGCCTCTGGAGTGCTGGGATTAAAGGCGTGTACTATGATTCCTGGCTCAGTCTTTTTTTAAATGTTTATTTTATTATTATTCTTTGTCTTGTTTTGTCTAGTATTAGGGACCTTGTACTTGCTAGGCAAGCGCTCTACCACTGAGCTAAATCCCCAACCCTAAGATTTCTTTTTTAAAAAAATATTTTACTTATTATTTTTATTTTATGTATATGAGTGTATTGCCTGCATGTGTGTAAATGCACCCATGTTGTGTAATACCTGTGAAGGTCAGAAGGAGACGTTGGATCTCCTGGAACTGGAATTGCAAACAGTTGTTAGCTACCATGTGAGTGTTGGGAATTGAACCTGGGTCCTCTGAAAGAGCAGCCAGTGCCCTTAACCACTGAACCATCTCTCCAGCCCCCTCAGTCTATTTTTAATTTAAAAAATTCTTTTTACATTTATTTGTGTGTGTGTGCATGCGTGTGTGTGTGCGCATGCATGTGTGTGCATGTGTGCGTGTGCATGTGCGTGCATGTGTGCATGCGTGTGTGTGTGTGTGTGTGTGTGTGTGTGTGTGTATGTAGCACTAAGTCAGTTTCTCCTGTCATGTGGGTCCTGGGATTGAACTCAGTCATCAGGCTTGGTGGTAGGAGCCCTTACTGTAACACTGAGCAATCCCGCTGGCCCTCCCTCAGTTTTTTTAAGGTCATGGAATATATTTCTCTGTGATGAACTGGTACTTCTGGACTCACTTTGTGGACTCCGTGTTCAAGTCTGTGGCCCCGTCCCTGGCCGTTTCCACTTTGCTCAGGTCTGGCACATGCCCACCATCTCCCCCTGCTCTTCCCTCTGTCAAAGACACCTGGCCCTGCTTCCCTCTTACCCAGGCCAGCTTCTCTTCATTCAGCTGGGTGTAGGCCCAGAGACCCCTCCTGGGGGAAACCTGCTGGGGTTGTGTGTCTCCCTTGGGCTCCTGCCTTGCCCTGTTGGCCTTGGTGGTCCTGGTGCCCTTCTGCTACAGGCACCTTTAATGCTCCTCCAGCGTCTCCCTCACACCCCTCAAGCCTCCAGGTCCTGATCAAGATGTGGGGATCCTCTGTTGTCCTCGCTCCTCCCCTGCTAACCCAGCTGGGAGAAAGCAGACTCAGCCCTCGAAGGCACATGAGATATCTGCACACTTCTTCTCAGGGCTTGGTTAATTGAATAAACTGGCTAATAAGCAGAGGAAATTAATTGCAGTTTTGAAATGTGACTGTGGCTTTGTGTTGTTCTGATTATGTCAGCAGCCTGTCACTGCCGCTAGCACCTCTACTCAGGAGCTGGGAAGCTTGGGACCCTGGTGTCCGGAGACATCTTCAGGGGCCATGAACCTGGGGCCTGTGCTCAGGAAGGGTGTTAGGGATTTTGTATCTTTGGGGCCAGCTGAGGCTGAGACTCAGAGTCCTGGTGACACATGCTCCCTGGATGCTGCTGGCTGGCTGTTGCTATAGCCCAACTCAAGATGGAACACTCAGCACAGACCCCTGTAGAGTCCTCAGGCCCTTGTTGAGGAGACCCAGTGTCTTGACCTCTGACTAGCAGGGCTGGCATGATGTGGTATACTGTGTCTCTCATGAGCTGGTTCCCTCTGTGTCCCTGGGAACACCATTCATCTTCTGCACCCTCTGCTTTGTATGTCTCACTCCACCCAGGCCCCTCTGTTTTTGAGAGTCCCGCCCCACCCCTTGCCATATAACTGGACTGGATTTGCTGCTGTCATACTGCCCAGGCCCTGGCATGCTGTCCTCACTGGCCTGTATGGGTCCTCCTGGTCCTTATCATTTGGCACTGACAGGTTCTTCCACTCTGAGGCAGGGTAGCCAGGTCCTAGTGGGTGTTGGTGAGGCCAGTGGAAACCTTTACTGTAAGTACCTGGCCCAAGATCTCAGTCCCTACCCACGACTGCCCTGGAACCTCAGAGTGTTCCCTTCCAACTGCTGAGTCAGCTATGCTTCCCAGGCCCATGGCTGAGGCCCCTTGTCCCCTCCTTGCCTGTGATGGTCAGTTGTATATTGATTGTGCTGCCGTGTTTTCAGATATGACGGGCACTTCTGTCAGCAATCATATACAGGTGATCCTCCATGGTGTTTAGGAGTCAGTGAGGGTAGAGATGGGACTGGCAGAGACCAGGGTCCTATGTGGTGCTCAGGGCCTGCTGGATGGGGATGAGATAGTAAGCATCTATGAGTGAGGTGGGTAGCTGGTCCACTGGGCTCAAGTGGCCAAGTGGGCAGTGCTCACAGCACAGAACAGGCATGCATTGAACACTGTTGTGTTCCAGGCTCCATCAATGATCTTGGATTGCTGTCACCTATCTGATGGGTCAATTGTGCTTTGGGAATGTGGAGACTGGACCTTGGGGGCCTGAGGCTGCCACACTGGTGGCCCTCAGCTTTTCACCCAGTCAGCCCAGCTATCAGACCTGGTGTTGTGTACCCTCTCCTCTCAGGATGTGGAGCCCAGTTTTGGGGTCCTGCTTCTGCCGCCTGAGTGCTGGGACGATAGGTGTGCACTGCCATACCTTGTTTATGCTGTGCTGCGTGCCAAACCCAGGACTTTGTGTACCCAAGGCAAGCATTCCACCAGCTAAGCTACATCCCTAGCACTTTCATTGTGGTTTGTCTGAAGGGGAGGGGCCAGAACCAGGGTAAAAAGTAGCCACAGCATCATGGTAACAAGTGGGGAGCTCAGAGCAAGACCCACCCTGACCCTCAGCCATTCAGAGCCTGGAAAAGTCAGAGGTCTTTACTCTGCGGGGAACAGAAACCACATGCACTGTCTTCGGTCATGGGCTTTGTCGCCTGCAGCTGGATGTGGGCGCTCAACTGTGTGCCTTTTCTCTTCTCTGGCTGCTTGCTGCTGGTTTCCTCTGCGGTTTCACCTACAGGCTAGTTTCCTGGGCTGAAGCTCAGGTGGAGAGGGATGCCTCTGTCCTGGTGGTTTGAGCAAGGCACTGGCTTGTTGGTGCTGGCTGGCCAGGCTTTGACTTATGGACACTCCTGTACCCTGCAGTAGAAAGGACAGTTGGAAGGTAGGGTGTGTGCTGTGCAGGAGAGATGGCAAGTACATGTTCCCCACATTCTGACACAGTGGCTCAAACAAGAAGTGGGTGTATCTAGGCTGGGAGTGACCACCCCAAGGGGGTATGTGACAATGGGCATATCTGGGTTAGGCTGTGGATGACTGCTCCTGCGGGCCATGTGACAAGAGGGTGCCTCTGGACTGGGAGTGACCCCTCCAAGGGGGAATGTGCTCATGGCCAGCACCCTGTGCCTGCTGTAGAGTATGTCAGATAATGCGCAGAGGGGAGTGGTGGACTGGGGACAGTGGCCAAGACCACACACTAGGCTGGGAGGGAGATTTATGTGGAGAGAATCTGACCCCTGGAACCATCCAACATTCAGAGTTGTGGGCCATGGGGACAGGGGAGGACTCCGAGGCCCAGTAAGTGCACCTTGCTCCATGACTTTGCCCTCCATTCCTGGTTGTTTGAAGCCACACTTTGAGTGAGTGCTCTTGTGGCCCAGATGGACATAAAGTTCCTCTTGGCACCTTGTGGCCAAGCATGTTCCATACAGAGGACACGCTGACCACGTGTTGGACAGGTCTCTTTTGTGTGACAAATTGACATCTGCAGAAAAATCTGAACATCACTTGAGCTGCTGAAGAAGAGGGTCCCTAACACACACCTCATCTACTCCCGGGGGCTCATTAGTGTTGGAGTCTGCTTTAAAATTTTATTACATTTATTTATTTATCATTTGTTCTGTGTGTGTGTGTGTGTATGTACACTTGCTTGCACGCATGCATGCATGCATGATACAGTGCACATATGGAAGTCAGAGGACAGTTTGTGGGAGCCAGTTCTCTTCTACAATATTTGTCCTAGGGATTGAACTGAGGTCCTCAGGCCTGGCACCAAGTGCCTTTATCCACTGAACCATCTCGCAGACCCTAGAGTCTGCTTCTGGTGACTTAATTGTGGCCACTCAAGGCTTCCAGGGTGAAGTGTATTTGTGGTGGTCCTCAGTGGTAGGGTTCCTGTTGTGCTTTCTCCTGAGTACCTAGGCAACTCACTGTGCCCTTGTCAAAGGCCACAAGCTGTTTCCCATGTTAGAACCCCTAAAAGGGATGATACCATTTCAGTCATCTGGGGCATGGCAAGGGAGTAGGTGTCCAACTCGTCAGAGGAGGTCACATAACCATGAAAGAGGCCTTGTGGGCCAGGAGTCAGGTAAAAAAAGCAGAGGGAAATAATTACAGAAACCATAGGCTGATGAGCTGGAGCCCCTGCAACTTAGGAAAAATAGAAAAACTTTGGAGTTCCTGGAATCCAGGGCAAGGCCAGAAAGATGATGATCTGAGTTCTTATGGAGTACCAGATTTAGTAAGAAGAGAAGTTTTGTCCCTAAACCTAGGGAGGAAGCAGTTGCATGCCAGGGAAAAGCCTGAATGTTTGCCAAATGCCTTCTGTAAGGCAGTGCAGAATTAGATCTTTTTCTTGTTTTTGCAATAGTTGAGGCTATCAAAGGCCAAACCAGATAGACAAGGGTGGAGTCTGGTCAGCACCCTGTGTCACCGTGGAGTCCTGGGTGGCGGGAGTCAGGATGTAGACTGCTCTCCCTCTGCTGTTACAGGCAGGTGGTAGTGGCGAGGGTAGGGGAAGCCCATCCTAACCGCCTGTCTCCCATCTGCTTTAGGTTCCTCCTGGTCTTCTCCTGTCTTGTGCTCTCTGTGTTTTCCACCATCAAGGAGTATGAGAAGAGCTCGGAGGGAGCCCTCTACATCCTGGTGAGCCTCACATGCAGGCATGGCAGGGGGAGAGGCCTGGAGGCCAGGAAGGAGCCCTGTGGTGAGACCTCTGCAGTGCTGTTTGCCACAGCCCCCACTAGTTCTCTGTCCTCAACCCTGATTGTTTGAGAGAGCCAGGCCTCCTGTCTCCAGGGTCTCCTGCAGGGGGGTATCCCTTCTTGCATCCACAGCCCTCTTCTTCCTGGCACTGTGGGGTAGTCCTCGAGCCATTCCCCAGCCTCCTAGTCCCTAGTACTAGTGAGGTCCCTGTGTCTGACATCCCTTACCACCCCTCCTTTTTAGCCCTGCCAGTTTTCCCTGGAGTCTGAGTGCCTAGGTGCCCCCATTTGTTCCCCAGCAGACATGGGAGCAGGGGTGGGGGGCCATGATGCTTACTCACATCAACTCCTTGATGGGGCAGGGGTGGGCGTCATGGCAACGGGACTATAATTTCTGTGTTGCCATTGGTAACGGGATGGGGGTGCTGGCCCTTCAAGAAGAACGAGCCTACCAGATTGCTCTTCCACCCACCTTGCCCCACTGCCCTGGGGCTGCCTGCCTTCTGGAAGAATCTGCCCCCCTTTTGCTCTGGCTGATAACCCTCTCAGCCCTGCTGTGCTCAGTACACTAACACCAGAACCCCTCATCCCTTTCTCAAACAGGGCAGGTTCCCTCCAACTCAGAAGGGAAGTGGGAGAGATGGTTTCCCTATTGGTCTATAGGCCAGGACTTGCTCACAGCAGTAAGTCCCCCGGTGACATGAGACTCTGTGTCTAAAAAGGGCCCAATCCTTGTTGCCTGGCCAGTGTGAACTGGGGGCCCTGTGGGGCTGGAGCTAAGCCCACAGCTCTCCTTTCTAGCTTCTAAGTCCTTGGGCTCCATCCATCCCTAGACTGGAACTGCCCACATGGTATTTGCATGGCCCTCTGTAGATCTGGTGCTGCCCTCAACTGCCTTCTCTCCCTAACCCCCAGGAAATCGTGACCATTGTGGTGTTTGGTGTAGAATACTTTGTGCGGATCTGGGCTGCAGGCTGTTGCTGCCGGTACAGAGGCTGGAGGGGCCGGCTCAAGTTTGCCAGGAAGCCATTCTGTGTGATTGGTGAGGCTTGGTGGAAATGTCTACCGGAACTGGGCATGGGTTTGGGAGTTGCTTCTGTCTTGGACACATCAGGCTAAGTGAGAGGGAAGGACCCTCTGGATGTTTCTATTTACCACTGATTTGGAGTTGGAGCTCATGACTAATGGTGCCTAGATGTTGGGAGGGACAGGGTTCTGGGCAGTCTGTACTGGACTTCACAGGCAGGCATGGTGTACAATGAAACCACCATTTCCTGGCTTCACATGGCCTTGCATGTCTGTGGGGTCACTGGTCCCTCTTCTGGGAGCCCTGGGGAGAGGAGACCCTGTGAACTGTGCCTGTCTCTCACAGACATCATGGTGCTGATTGCCTCCATCGCTGTGCTGGCTGCTGGCTCCCAGGGCAATGTCTTTGCCACGTCTGCACTCCGGAGCTTGCGGTTCCTGCAGATCCTGAGGATGATACGCATGGACCGAAGGGGCGGCACCTGGAAGCTCCTGGGCTCAGTGGTCTATGCCCACAGCAAGGTAGGTAGGCCTAGCCAAGCCATGGGCTGCTTTCTATCCTGGCCCCAAGGTCCCAGACTGCTTTGAGCTGGACACATTTGAGGGCCTGGCAAAATATGAATGAGTCTCCTCTGGGTTTCTTGTCATGGCTGACAATCTTATCTATCTCCAGAAAGCTACTGTTTTCTTTTTGACAGTCTGAGCAACATTCTGTAGTTGGGCATTTCCTTTCCTGATTCTGAGGGCCTGGATCGATATACCTGCCCAGGGGTTGTTTAAGCTGCGGCTTGTGGTGGCTGCTGACCAGGGGACTCACAGGGTGGCTGTGGGCATATGTTCTGTATTAAGAGAGAGTGTCTAGTGGCTGAGACCTGATTTCTTCCAGGCTGTGTTGTGGGGCCTCTGGGCTCATTCACTCAAATGCTTTCCACCCCATTTTCCCACCTGCCTAGGCCCCTTTTTCATTGGTTGAGGTGACTTTGGGGGCAGATGTTGGGCCTGGGGCTGGGGTCTCTGAGGCCTGGTCCCTGTCTTCCTTGCTTATTGTGGATGTTGGGAATTGTGTATGTGCCTCTTGGGACCTGAACTGCCTCTTGGGGATGTCTCAATAGTATCCCAACAGTTCTGAGACTGTGGCTGCCGCCTATGGGGTATGTGTTCCCCCGCCCTGAGCAGGATGCTCCCTGGGCGACTAGCTGCTCTGCTCCCTTGTCTAAGGTAGCTGGTGAAGGAGTTGCTGTGGTCAGCACCATGCAGCCAACAGTCATCCCAGATTCTACAGGGCAAGCCCTGTGGCCTGCCTGGCCATTGTCCACTCCTGTTATACCCTTACCATTGTCAGGAGTGGAGTGCATCCCCCAAAGCCCTGGAGATGCCCATAGTCCAGGGCATAGCTCCTAGGCTGGATACTGGCCAGGTTGGCCTGAGTGGGACAATGACATGGTCTGCTGCCTTGCAGGAACTTGTGACCGCCTGGTACATCGGCTTCCTCTGCCTCATCCTGGCCTCATTTCTGGTGTACTTGGCAGAGAAGGGTGAGAATGACCATTTTGACACCTATGCGGATGCACTCTGGTGGGGCCTGGTAAGTCCTGGTCACTGGTTACTGTCCCTCCCTGGAAGAGACTGCCTTCTTGACATTCTCCTCCTGCTGCTATCCTGAGGATAGACCCTGCCCCTTGGGGCCTGGAGGGGAGAGCTAATTGTCTTTAGGTTGAGTTGAGTGGGCATGTCTCTTGGAGGCCACCTGGTGGCTGCCTGTGGACATAATGGCATGGGGATGGAACTGAGGCTGGTGTGGCCATGGTGTGTTGGCAGATGTGATGAGGAGATACTGGGCTCCTTTGTCCCCTTCACCTACTCCCATTCCCTGCTTGGCACTGGACTCGACCTGGATTGTGGAGAAGGACTGGGGTTAGGGCATAGAGGCTCTGAGAGCAGTGGTTGGGGCTGGGCCCATCTCAGGCCTCCCCATCTCAAGGGTATGACCCTCACAGCTTGGTAGCAGTGTGTGTGTGGGGCAGCACTGGTGGCACGGTGGCATTTCCAAGGCCAAATGCCACCATTCTAGGCCACTTGCTTCTGGCCTCCCACCCCCAGTCAGTCCTTCCCTTTGTTGTGAGGGACAGGGAGAATACAAAGGGGAACTGGGGAGAGGGTTTAGTAGACAAAGTACTTACTGTACATGCACTAGATCCCCAGTATCTATGTAAAATCTGGGCATGACAGCACACACGTCTGTAACCCCAGTGCTGGGGTTAGTGTGGAGACAAGCAGATCCTGGGGCTTGCAGGCCAGCCAGTCTAGGCAAAATGATAAGCTCCAGGTTCAGTGAGAGATCCTCTCTCACAAAACAAGGCAGGGAAGCAATAGCTGAAGATGCCAGAGTTGACTTCTAGCCTCTACATGCTCATGCACACATGATGTGCACACACACATACACAGAGTACAATGGGAAACCACAGCTTCTGACTCCCAGGGGCTTTTTAGGCTGTGCCATCCAGGGTGGTGTGTGGCCTGCTGAGAGTGGTCTCACTTCCAGTCCCTCCACCCCGACTGGTGCTGGCCAGGTACCTGAGCGTTCCCTGGCAGTTGCACCTGCAGATCCCCATGCTTGGCTCTGCTCAGAATACTCCAAGGATCCTCGCTCATCACACCTTCTGAGAAGAGCCTGTTGGATACCTTTAAGACTCCTTCTGGGAGTAGGGATGCGCATTGGGTCTCCAAGGCCTCTGTTTTCAGACCTTGCTTTCTGAAGACCACACTGGCCCTATAGGCCCACCCCAACTACATGGGAATGGGTTTCCATATGCCCCTCCTTTCCTGATGCCCTGGGTGCCCCATGCAGGTAGATGCTCGGGGCAGAGTTGATTTTCACTGGAGAGACCCTGAGGTGGTTAGTTGGTTAGGTGCTGTGCATGCAGAGCCACTGGGAGAGGATCAGGCAGCTTCCCCTGGAATGAAGCCATAGGGCAGTTTATTTGTAATCTTATTAATAGCCACAGGTCTGGAATCCTGTATCCTCCTGGAAAGAAGCAGGACCATTAGGCGTGAAAATGGTGTGAAGCTGGGCAGTGAACAGCAGTGGAGAGTGTGTAAGGGGCACAGGACCAGGGCCGAATAACTGGGCCGTCTGACTGTCTATGTGCTTCCAGGCTCTGCTGAGGGAGTCAGCTTAGTTCTCAGGGTCCCAAGTTGTGATCAGATGACTCAAGGGTCCTGTGAGGGTGACATGGCCCATTCTCTCCAGGATTTCATGGGCCATGAAACTTCAGAACTGAAGTAAAAATTTTATGTGTTGTTTCAAAGAAATTCTTATATATATTTAAAAATATCTGATTCCTAAAACCCAGCCCCTTGGGTCCTCTCCAGTTGTTCCTGTGGCCCAGCTCTCGAGCTTACTTTGGGATGATTTCCATGGTCCTGTACGATAGGCCTAAGGCTTCACTTTCTGATTTAGACTTTTGACACTGGTCCTTCACCTATGGTGCCCCCTTGGGGCTCACTGAAAGGCAGGTTCCATGGCTGCTAGAAAATCTGGGGTGGGATTTTGAGCCTGTGTGCCTGAAAGTGTTCCTTCTGGTCTGCTCAGTGCATAGCTGGGGAGGGGCCTTTCCACTTTCACACAAGCATCCCTGACAGTCCAGTTTTTCTACTACATGCACTGTTGGTGGTGGCACTAGACAAGGGCCTTCTGGGGTCTTTGGGCGTCCCTCAACTCTTCCTGGCTTCCAGACCTTCTGTCTTGAGCTACATCTCACTGTCCTTTCTCATCCCACCCTCTGCCTCCACTCTTCTGCCTTTCCTATCTTTTTTTGTTTTTGTTTTTGTTTTGAACTATCCATGTCAAGCTGTCATGATTTTACCCGGAGAAAGGCAAAATAAGAAACAATCAACATGGCTTTTCTTTCAGCAGGATAATGGCAGTACTCCCACAAAATGAAGCACTGTAATTGCAGCCTACTTTGCCTTTTCCTATCGTATAGTTGAGTTTTGGAGAGAGTGGCATAAATTAGCTGTTCATGCCTTTAAATACATGTTTATGATAAAACATGGGACCGGACACAGGCATGTGGTAGAATCTCAACCAGGGGAGGTTTGGTGATATAAATGAATCCCTTAGGCCTGGCTTGTTACCTGTGACCAGCTTCCTGCTGCCTTTCCCAGAACCTTCTATGCAGGTCCACATACATGCAGGTTGTGGTGGAGGTGCACTTACACACCATGATGCTTCTTGCCTGACTGTGGCTTTGTTGTGGGCAGACACAGCCAAACAATCTCCTCAGTGTACTAGGTGGCCTTTACTCCCTCTTCAAACTGTGTGAACCCTTCCTGTACCTGGGACAGACCCTAGGATGGGACTCCCTAGTCCCTGGTGAGAGGTGCCTAAGTTCCCTCCATCCCCACTAGGACAGCCATTCTGAGCTCACCCTTTTCTCTATTTGTATAAGGACTCAGCCCCATCTGGGCCTGTCATAGGCCCACCTCCTGGCTCCAACCATGGGGACCAACCTCCCACTGCTAGACAGAGGTGTGCTATGACACCTTCACTCTCACCTAACACTTCAGCTTTACCAGAGATACCTTGAAGCATGTTCCAAACCTGGCCCTTCTCAGTCTCAGCGTCATTGGGGTGACCTGGAGAACTGACCTGGCCCCCTCCCTGCCCACCTGAGAGAATCCTGAACAAAAGTTCCAGGGCACCAGGACAGCCTGCCCTCCACATGGGGTCAACTTCCTCATCACCACCTATCTGTCCCTTAGGTCACCTCCCATTTGCTACCACTGGCCTCCTCACTTCCTGGCCAGGCCTTCCATGGGACCATGCCTCCCTGGGCCCTGCTTTCTCTGGCCTCTGCTGACTCCTCACCCACCTTCTGTGGACTTTGGTGTTCTTACCCTTCCTTTGTTCTTGGCCCCTGGCTTATTGGGTACTTACCAGCTCACTGGCACCTCCTACCTCTGAGCATAGAGCAGGGACTAGACATGCCAGAAACTCACCTGGGTGGAAACCGTTCTCTTTGCTTGGTACCTGTGTGTGAGTTATGTGGTCCACCTCCAAAATGTGAGCCTTAGGAATGAGTCCCCTTCTAGCATGAAGAGAGATTGAAGGTTTGATGGGATTTCAGAATAAAGGGCAGTTCACGCTCACCCTAGCTTCATTTTGCACCCGCATGGGTGGTGTTGGACGGGTGGTCCCCCCATGTCTGTCTGGTCCAAGTCTGAGTGGCCACAAGCATTCAGTTGTCCCTAGAGGTGCAGCCAAGCCCCGTGGGTAGCCTCCAGGACTGAGCAGGGACATCTGGCCTGGGATTGTAGCCTTCTGTGGTAGCCTCTGCCAGCCTACTAAAGTGACCCCTGCCCCACAGATCACCCTTACGACCATTGGCTACGGGGACAAGTACCCTCAGACCTGGAATGGAAGGCTGTTGGCAGCGACATTCACCCTTATTGGCGTCTCGTTCTTCGCTCTTCCTGCAGTGAGTCCTGTGCCCTTTCTTGCCTTGGGGATGGGGGCAGGGTCTTAGAGGTGCCTCATAAGAGTCTTAACCACAGGCCACCTGGAAACTGTGGGTATCTGGGATGGGAGCAGGTCCTTGTAGGGTTCACAGCCCCTAGAGGCGCCCCATTCTGGACCAGAGTGAGGCTGTCCTGATGTAGATGCCTGTAGGCACACTCTTGATATCTGCAGGCTGTGGCTTCTGACATGATTCTTTTGGCACCTGTGATTTTCTCATCTGAACGACCCTGGACAGTGGGGTCCTCATTCATCCCATGCAGATGGTTGTCCTGACTGCTGCACTGGGCTTGGCAGAATGCAGCTGTCTGGGGCCACTGTGTGGACAGAGCAGGGAAGGAGGGCTCCCATCTGGGATCAGTGGGCACTACCTTCTGCTGGTCAGAGGTCCCCCATCCTGGTCTCTGGGTGATGAAGGACTGAGTTAGACAGGTGGTACCCATGAAGCCTAAGCATGCAGGCGATGGCAAGGAAGGGTACAGGTCCCAAGATATGGTCTGACCTTGGTGACTTGCAGGGCATTCTGGGGTCTGGCTTTGCCCTGAAAGTCCAAGAGCAGCATCGGCAGAAGCACTTTGAGAAGCGGAGGAACCCTGCAGCAGGCCTGATCCAGGTGAGCCTCTCTGTCCCTACTAGGGACCAACCCCTGTTCTGGTTCCATCTTGCATTGATGACGGTTGTGCCAGGCTTCTTCCTGTCTGTGAATGGGGCCATGGCCCTCGTTTCTCTGTGGGAACATATCAGGGAGACAAGGATATGTATGTCAGTGTGACTGAGGACACACTGCAGTGACTCATGGTGACAACATTGGGTGATCTTGTCCCCAGTGGGTACTTGGTCCAGGCCAGATTGTCCCAGGCATCATCCAGGTCACCCTCCAGTGTCCTGGAAGGTGATGCTTCATCATACTCATTCGTCAGCTGCAGAATTCACAGTTCAGAGAGGCTGACACTCTGGTAGCAAATGGTGTCTGAGCCGTGTCCATGCAACCCCAACCTCATCTGTGGACGCCTTGCCTTCCTGCCCTGAGCACAGGCAGTCCGTCCCACCATTCAAGAGCAGGTGGGGTGCAGAGGCCACCTGAACATGTGCAGAGGAGAGCAGAGATTCTTGATGGACCCTGGAGCTGACTGGGGTTTCCTGACAGCTGAATAGGGCCCTGATTCCTTCTTTCTTTTTTAAAGACATGGCTCTCATGGTCTTGACTTTGGGTCCAGCCTCCTTTTACTTATCTTTCACCACAAAACTCCACATGGCTATTGTTTTCTAATTGCAAAACATACAAAGATGACCAAAAGTGGCCATTTGAAAAGAAAATGACTGCAGTGGTACATACCATTCAGGAGGCAGAGGCAGGCAGATCTCTAAGTTAAAGGCTAGCCTGGTCTGCATAGCAAGTTCCAGGCCAGCTGGGGCTACAGGGAGACCTTGTCCAAACAAACAAGCAAACAGACAGACAACAGACAGACACATAAAGACAAACAAACAAAACAGAAGAAAAAATGACTGCATGTTCATGGGACCAAAGGTTTAGCAGGCGACAGCATAAAGCAAGAGCCATATAACAGCAGCCTGGGGGTCTGCCAGGGGCCAGAAGTGCCACCAAAGGGCAACATGTATGCTCTGCCCAGCTTCACCAGAGAGTGCCTCATTAGGACAGAGCAGCCGTTCTGCCTTGCCTGTAGTTTTCCCCACAGTGGATTTCAAGACTCTTAGAGCTTCAAGACATTTCTAGCCCATTTCTGATGCATGACTTCCAAGTAAAATTGCTGTGGAAGAGCAACTGATCAAAGTCTTTCCTCTGAGGGAAACTGACCTGCATGTAAGTTTGGAGGCCAAAGATTTGATTACTGGTGACCCCAACAGCTCTGCTGCAGGAGCAGAGGGGAGAAGACTGCTTTTGGAGAGGCCTATAATCTGGATGTGATTCTGGCTCCCAGGCAGGAAAAGGCCTGGAGGGGGAGCCTCAAAGGAGGCACCAAGGTCTTCTGTGCCCTCAAGCCATCTGTGTCCTGTGGAAGTTAGCCTGGCCAGCCTGGACCCCATGTTCCTATACTCTGAAAAGTGTAAGATGTTGAAAAAGGGTTTGGAGAGATGGATCAGCAGTTAAGAGCACTTGCTTCTCTTGCAGAGGATCTGCGTTCAGTTCCCAGCACCCACATGGTAATTCACAACCACTGTAACTCTAGTTTCAGGGAATCTGGTGCCCTCTTCTGGCCTCTGAGGGTATCGTGTGCAGTAATGCACTTAAATGCAGGTAAAACATTTATACACATTTAAAAAAAAAGATGTTGAAAGAGATTGATGGTAACAGAATTGGAAAAACACCTCATGTTCATGACTTGGAAGATTTAATCTTATTAAAATGTTCTTTCCAAAAATTGATCTGCAGGTTCAGTGCACTCATTATAAGTCCAATGCCGTTGGTTTTTGCAGAAATGGAAAAGCAGATCCTAGGATGTGTATGGAATTGCAATGGACTCTGAAGAACAAAAAAGCTGGGGGACTCACACTTAAAAAGTCACAGTAATCAAAACAGTGTAGTCCTTACATAAGGACAGACAAATAGACCAGTGAGGCAGACTGCACATGAGTTAGCCCATATGTCTGTGGTGAACTGATTTTAGATGAAGGCGCCAAACTGATCTAATGGAGAAAGAGTGGTTACATCATGTGATATGAGGACAACTGGAGATCTGCTTGTTGTGGCAGAGTTTCCAGACTGGCTTCAAACTCACGTGATCTTCATGCTTTGGCCTCCTGAGCTCCATATTACAGACATGTGCTACTATGCCCTATTTTGGGGATCTGTTTTTAAAAAGATACTGTTTGGTCAGACATGGTAATGCTCACCTGTAATCTTGTCACTCTGTAGGCTGAAGCAAGAGGATCTTGAGTTCGAGGCCAGCCTGGAGTACATAGTGAGATTCTGCCTTAAAAAAAAAAAAGTCCCTAGAAGTAAGCAAGCTGCACGGTTTTTATTTTTATAATAAAAAAATTAATGACACCAAAGCATAAGCAGCATCAAAAGGGAAATTGGAAACTTTTTAATCAGATTTAAAAACTTGTGCATCGCTGGGCGTGGTGGTGCACGCCTTTAATCCCAACACTTGGGAGGCAGAGACAGGCAGATCTCTGTGAGTTCAAGTCCAGCCTGGTCTCATAGTGAGTTCCAGGACAGCTGGGGCTACAGGGAGACCCTGTCTCAAAAAAAGACAAAAAAAAAAAACCAAAACAAAACAAAAACTTGTGCATCAAAGGACACTCGAGTAAAGAGACAACCCATGGAACAGGGGAAAAAATTGGAAATGATATCTATGGTACGGGTTTAGTGTCTAGACTATATAAAGAACGCTAACAACTCAACAACAAAAATATGAACAACCAGAGAGTTCTTGGACAAAAAGACTTGAATAGACATTTCTCCAAAGAGCATTGCGCCTGTGAAGAGACAGTCAGTGCCATTGTCATTAGAGAAATGAAGATCGAGCCATGAAACGCCACTTCAAAGACACACTGAGATGATTAAAGTGTAAAAAATGGGATGTGTTGATGGGAACATGGTGACACTGGACCCTCACATATTGCTGGAGGGATGTATGGTGCGGCCATGGCTCAGAAAGCAGCAAGTAGGGCCAGAATTAAGTAGTAGAGCTCTTGTCTAGTGTGTGTGAGGCTATGAGTTTCATCTCCAGCACCAAAAACAGAAAGGAAAAGCAACAGAAATGACACATGGAGTTGCCACCTCACCCACATGTCCATTCCAGAAACAGGTGCTCAAGTAAAATCTACATACCCATGTTCATAGAGCTCTGGGCACAACAGCCAAAACAGGACAGTCATGTGTTCATCAAATGTGACTCATCTGCATATCTGAGTATGAGGGAGGAGGATGGATCGTATTGCATCCTAGTGAGCTCTAAGGGCCTTACCCTCCATGTAGGAAGTCACACAGATAGTCCATGTAATCATGGGATTGCATGGATAGGAAATTTCCAAAGTAAGTAAATCCAGAAGCTGACACAGATTGGTACTGCCAGGGCCTTGGGGGAGGATAGAATGGAAGCGTCCGCTTTATCTGTGGGTGTGCCTTTCCAAGGGTAAGAAGCCATGGATAGATAGTGGCCACAGTTTCACAGTGCTATGTGTACTTTAAAGTGACCAAACCAGTGGAATTTATGTTGTATGTATTATGTTGCACACACAAGAGGGTTGAGAAGAACCCCGGGTCCAATGAGGAAGACTGGGTCTGGGCTACCACACCTGCAGGAAGGAGCCATGTCCTAGCCTTGCCCCCTCTTCCCACATCTCACAGGATTTGGGGTAAAATCCTGTTTGGATTGGGGAGGGCAACGAGGTCACCGTGGTGCCCACCTCACCCAGTGTCAAGAAAGAACAGAAGGAGAAGACCACCAAAGCCTGCTGCAGACTCATTGTGAGCCAGAGGCAGAGCATCTCCCCACCCCACCAGCTTCCGCAGGCATCACACTTGTCCCTTCTACAAGGGTGAATCGAGGTTGTGGGGTAAGGACAGGCACATGGCCCTGAAACCCCAGTCTTGCCTCTTCCTACTGCAGTCTGCCTGGAGATTCTATGCCACCAACCTCTCTCGCACCGACCTGCACTCCACATGGCAGTACTATGAACGCACGGTCACTGTCCCCATGTACAGGTACTGCACCAGCCCAGGCTCACCATTCTGCATGGTGGCTTTACCTTTTAATTTCCATGTGTTCTTTAAACCCCATTTCTTTTATTGATTTTTATTTCTTTTTCTTTAAAATGTATTTCCTCTACAAAGGATTCTGTCTGGTTTATTTCACAATATTGACTTTGTTTTGTTTTACAGTGTTGCAGGTTTTGTTCCTCAGCCTGTCCCTGTCCTTTGTTTTCCACCCCTCCCTGGGTTCATTGTGTTGTGGTCCCCACCCCAGACTGTCCCAAGATAAATCCTGGCCTTAGTGCTGGAGGGCTGTGTTCTCCAGCAAGGATGGGGTATCTGTGGGGGGCTAGGGAGTGACTCCCCCCCAGACTACAGTGAGGGTATAGAGCTAAGAAAACTGCATCATCCAGGGGGGCCCAGGCATCCCTAGCAAGACAGTATGGGACATTCCAGGAGACCCCAGAAAGGAGGCGGCTAGGGTGTGCCTCTCTGGAGGATACTAGGGGACAGTGCCAACTGGGCTGTGGTCTAACTGCTTAGAGGGCAGGGGGCAGCACTGACCCAGGAATTGTGTGCGTAAGGTTCTTGCTTAGATGAAGGTTTGAGGCAAGGGACTGAAGCCCAAGCATGGAGTTCACATGGCCTGATGCTGTAGGTCAGAGCTCCTTGGGGTGAGCATTGTGCTGTCCCTTTACTCTGCATTGAGAAGGGAGAGGCTAAACAGGGTCTTCCCAGCTTCATCACCTGTGTCAGAGAATTTCACCTGTTTCTGTCCAACTGAGCTGTCCCTAGGTGGCACAGCACAGAGCTCATGTGGGACCCCTGGAATGGGGGGGGTCATCTTAAGGGTCCCGACACAAAAGTGGTCAGCTAGACCAGAGGCCATTCCGTCTGCACTGGCCTTGCCAGTCCTTCCTCAGCACCTACCACAGGCCCCTCTAGAGCCCTGAGCCCCTGCTCGAGGCCCTGCCCCAGCTCCATGCTCCTTGCAGGGCATTGGGTTGGGACTGAGCCCTGGGTTAATTTTCTTTACTCCGTTGTTCCCCTATTCCTCAACGATTCTTCTTTTCATTTTCTTTCTCTTATCCTGTTCTTTTTAAATTTTTTTGGTTTTTTTTCCTTCTGTGTGTGTGTGTGAAACCCTTGAAAGCTCGCAAACTCAAACATATGGGGCCTCCAGGTAGGATATGCATGGGATAGAAGATGTGTGTGGTTATTGTCTGTCTGAGTCCAGGGTTGGGCAAGTCCTTGGGAACCCACAGTCCACCCTGGAACACCTGCCCCATGGTCCTCATGCTGCCATCATCAGACCCTGTCACCCTGTGACCCCTCCCTGCCTGGAGCTCCTGTGCCAACCTGTTGTTCCTCCCGGGCCAGTGCGAGCCTTTCTCGTTCCCTGACTCCTGCTTCCTCAGCTGCTGCTTTCCTGTCGCTGGATCCTTTGTTCTCAGTGTGTCTTGTTCCTTGGCCTGCTTCCTGCCTTGTCTTACAGCTGTGGTCTCCTACCCATGCCTCCACCCCACTCAATGGCCCAGCTCATGAGTAGAACAGTCACTGTGGGCACACTCACCATGAGGCTGAGGGATCTGTCTGGGACCAAGAGCAGATTCTAGACCAAAATCCTGCTCTGGCCACCTGCCCTGGGGTCTCCCTCCCTGGGTTCAAGTCCCCTTCCCCAGAGTCTACTACAGTGGAGAAAGCCTTCAGGCCCTGGGGACAGAGCTATGTGTTCTGGATGGCCACGCTCTCTCACTGTGTTTTGGGCCCATTCAAAAAAGTGGGAAATGTCTGCTTTGCTCAGGTGAGAGCAGCTGAGCCGATTCAAGGAGTTTTACTCCACAAGTGCAGAGCAAGACCCTCTACCCTGTGCAGGAATGGAGTCTGTGCTGAGTGGAAGCCCGCCTCTCAGCACAGTCTTACAGAGCAGGTCAGTCCCTCCTGGCCTAGTCCAGCAGCAGGCACAGATTCTTTTCCCAGGAGCTATGACCTGTCCACTGCCCTTCGAGGGGACTGACTTAGAGTATTAAGTACTTGACTCCCAAAATGAATGGGTTGTTGTGCTGGGCAGGTCCTTGGGCATCTCCTGCCCAGATCCTACAGGTACGGTGACCATGAGAGCAACATCTTAGTCCTAATGTCCAGCCTCCCCTGGGTCTCCCAGCTCCCTGGCAGGTTGAGGGCCAGTGTCCTCCCTGAGAGACTTCTCCTCCCCTCAGCCCATCTTTTCCAGGTAGCACTGCACCCAGAAAGAAAATGCCCTTCCACCCCCAACCTGGATGGATAGAGTTGTCCCCTGGGACCAACTGCATTGCAGATTAGTCCATACCGTCTCCTGGGGTTGCCCCTCCCCCCGTCCTTTGTGACTGTCCAGGGGTGACCAGCTGTGTGCACGGCCCCACTCCATGTGTCTGCCCCTGGTGGCTGCTCTGTGTGTCCTGGGCATGCGTCCAGTCTGTTTTGGAGGGCTGGTGTCACATGTCTCTAACATGCACCTGCCTGGGGGTGGTGGGAAGGTGAAGGAGAGGGTTGTGCCAGGGCCCCTGCTCCAGGCCCTGGAGCTGGGTGGAGGGTTGGTAGGGAGGCCCTCATGCATTAACTGGCTAACCTTGACTCCTAGGCTTTTGCCTGGCTTGGGGGAGGGGAGAGAGACAGGAAGGGGAGGGAGGCGCTCGCTGGACCACTCCCTCCCACCAGCATTTTTCAGACTTCCTCTAGGCCTGGCTCTCAGGCCCTGGCTGTGGAGTAAGGAAGAGCCAGGTGTAGCTATCCCTACCAGAGGCCTCGGTGGTTAGGGGTGTAGGATGGGTCTCTGGGTGGAGAAGCAAGACTAGAGTAAGGAGTGTGGCCAGTCTGCTAGTGAACTCAATGGTCCTTTTATGTTTGAGGTTGTGGGGAATCACTAAGTATTTGAATGGGGGGATAGCAAGGCTGCTGGCCAGGTTCGGAGGGTCTAGTGGGGTGGGACAGAGAGATGGTGAGAGTGTTGGGAGAATCCAGGTGAGGGGCAGAGGGGGAGACACAGGAAGGGACATTGACAGCAAGACGTGCCTGAGGCCACACACAGGGGAGGATTAAGTAGAGGCTGGGCTGGGAGGCAGCTAACTGCTACAGGACCCCAGGCACAGGGACCCAAGTTTTGTATTTTGCAGCTGACAGACAAGGTCAAGTCGAGGCTTGGGGTCTGGAGGGTCCTGGTGTGTAGTTGGGACTCTAGGAGGCTAGTGCTGAGAGAGACACAAGAAGTGCTGCTGAGTGGGCAGGGGCAGAGTCAGGGCAGGAGTGACAGGGCTCGAGGTCACAGGAGCCAGGGGACTGCTGTCTTCCAGACATTTCTCCTAAATGGAGTACATGGAGCAGCCACTGATCAGGAAGTAGCTGAAAGTGAGGGGCCCCATCACTGGGGAGGCTGCTGGCCTTTGGCCTATGGCCATGGCTATGGACTGACCAAATGCCAGGGCAGGTAGGTGAAGGCCAGGCATGGGGCTGTGAGTAAAGTGTGGCCAGGTCTAGGAAGAGGAACAGCTATGCTACCTACTTAGGGCCCTCAGGGCATCTGGACTTGATGAGGCCAGGGCCTGTCCCTCCGTTTTCCAGGCCAATCATCCTACAAACCTGGAAAACCCTGAACTTTTCTCTACCCTTTTCTGTGACCTTCCCCCGTACCACCCCAGCCTTGAGAGGTGAAAAGGCTTTCCAAGGGTCTTGAGGGTCTGGGGCCTTGAATATATTGGGGTGCTGTGTTTGCAGCCCCTCAGGGATTTCAGTGGTAGAGGAGTGGGAAAGAAGGAAGGTCAGGGGAGGCGGTGCCTTAGCTGAACTCTGCTCTCCTGACTCACTCCATGTTGAAGGGCTGGGATCTCATGGCCTGTTGTCCATGCTGGTCTCTTCCCACTTCCTGTGCCCAACTCCAGAAGCAGCATGAAAGTGAAGATGGCCCTGGAGCTTGGGAGCATTGAGCAGTGGGCCCCAGGTGTCCCACACATATGCTCTGGCATCTGCTGCCTGCTCATGCGGAGGGAGTGGATGCAGGTGAGCAGGGCTGAGTCTCAGCTCCTTTGGAGACTATGCTTACTCTCCTCTCTTTGTCTTGCCCCAGACTCATCCCACCTCTGAACCAGCTGGAGCTGCTGAGGAACCTCAAGAGCAAATCTGGACTCACCTTCAGGTCAGCACAGGGTCTGCCTGGCTGGGGCTGAAATATCATGGCTGTGTGGGCAGCCTGGGCTTCCCAGGGGGCCCCAGTGCCTTGGACAATGACAAGAAGTCCTGAGATATACTTGGCTACTGACCTTGGTGATGTGGGTGGCTTCTGCTTCGGATGGTTAGGTTGAGACTTTCATCCCTAGAGGAGTAGTTAGTAGAGGGAATGACATGAAGGGGTGGGGCAAGGAATAGGACTCAATATGGGGTCATCTGGCTCCATTCATGGCTCATGCTTGAGACCCAGCTGGGAAGGAGTGTCCCGGCCCCAGTGTTAAGTGGCTACACATGCATGGCGGCACCTGCTGGTCCTTTAATTACAGAATCTGTGACTCACAGTGCTTGGGTACAAAGATGGGCACACAGAAGTACTTGCCCTCTACAGAAGTGGAAAATGGGCATAGAGCCCCACACAGCTTCCTGTCTCTGAAGAATGTTCAGCAAGGCAGGAAGGTGGCAGTGGGCTGATGGTGGTTCCCGTCCCTAATCATGTGGAAGCTCTGGAATCTGTGAATGTGACATCCAGCATCCACTTAGATGTTCATAATGTCCCTATAAGGAGAGGGATGTTTGGAGACAGTCACAGGAGGAAAGCCAAGTGAAGACACTGGCAGATACTGGAGTGATACAGCCACAAGCCAAGGCCACCTGGAGCCACAGGATTCGGAAAGGCAAGGGGGACTGTCCCCTGGAGTTCATGGAGGGAATGCAGCCCTGCAACCCTGATGTTTGGCGTTTCTCTTCCAGGATTGTGAGAGAATAACTTTTTGTGGGTTCAGCCCCTCCCACTGTGGCATTCTGTCACTGAAGCTCTAGACAACTAACTCATTTGGATCCTATAACATGTGCTGCTGTAACAAACAGAAAGTGGGTTTCCAGTTGGATAATGAGCAGGAGGTAGAAGAGGTTTTACATGCTAGAACAAACCTGCATAACCTTGGAGAGGTGATTAGTGGAAGTCCGGGTGTTAAAGGTTGCTTCTGGGGAGGTCTCCAAAGAAGTGAGAAACATGATAGAGGTTTGTATTGTCATGAACAGAATGTGGCTAGAAATAGTGTCTGCTGCTGTGACAAAATACCTGAGACAAACAACTTAAGGAAAGAAGGTTAATTTTGACTCACAGTGTCAGAGATTCCAGTCTATGGTTTTTGACTCCATTGCTCTTAGGGCTGTGGCAAGGCAGAAATATCATGGCAGAAAGGTGTGATAGAGGAAAACTGCTCACCTTGCAGCAGCCAGGAAGAAGAGAAGCAAGAAGAGGCAAGGCACATTGTCTTAGTTGCTTTTCTGATGCTGTGATAAAACACCGTGACTGAGGGAACTTATAAAAGGAAGTATTTGGGCTCACAGTTCCAGAGGAATTAGAGTCCATCATGGCCAGGAGGCATGGTGGCAGGAAGTAGCCAGAGTTGGAGCAGAAAGCAGAGGCTCACATCTTCAAGCAGGCACAGGAAGAAGAGAGTGACTCAAAATCTGACAAGGCTTAAGAACTCTTTAAGTCAGTGATGTGCTTCCTCCAGCAAGGCCACACCTTCTAAGACCTCCCCAAACAGTGCCACCAACTGGGAACAAAATATCCAAATACTTGGAGCCTATGGGACACATTCTAATTCAAACCACTACAGACATGATACATGATACACCCTTCAAAGGCACACTCTGCCACCTAACATCCCAGCATGTTACTGAAAACTAAGGAGGTGGTCCCTTGTGGTAGGGTGGCAGAGGCGGTTTTTGGCTAAGGGGGTTTCCTAGTGAAGTGTGGGAAGTACTGATTCCTCTTTCATGTTTATCATCAAATTGTAGAAGAGGTAAGCTGAAGAATCCCTCAAAGAAACCTGAACCTGAAGATCAGGGGTCATGATGACAGCAAAGAGTCATGCCTGAGGACAGTCACTGCAGGGAGAGGCTGCTGTGTTACAGAGCGCAGGCCTCAGATAAGGCGGGGGAGCACTCTTCAATGGAAGTCAGAAATGAAGGTGGTTATCCAGGAAAGTTGTGCAGAGGACTCCGCTGCATAATGTCCACTGCTCAGCTGCCTCAGGACCCTAACAGGATGCTCCTGTCTAACGGAATCCACTGATGGCCTGCTCAGTGTTGTAAAGAGGACTCTCCTGACTAATAACATCCACACTGGGCCTCCTCAGGGTTCTATAGACGATTCACCTGACTAGTGACATCCACCCTGAGCCTTTTCAGGGTCTCACAGAGGTCTCTTCTGACTAGTGACATCCATCCTGAGCCTCAGGGTCCCACAGAGGACCTTCCTGATTAGTGGTGTCCACCCAGACCCCCTCAGGGTCCCACAGAGGACCCCTCTAAGTAATGACATCCATACTGGACCTCTTCAGGGACCCATAGTGGAGCCTCCTGACTAATTATATCCACCCTGGCTCTCCTCAGGGTCCCACAGAAGACCCTCCTTACTAGTGATCTCCATCCTAGGCCTCCTCATGGTTCTACAACATTCTTGGCAGCAGAGACATTGCCATTGTGGACTGAAAGGGATAGAGATGGGTGAATAAAGGCAAGACTATGGATTGCTGGGATGGTACAAGCAGGACTGAGGCCAGTAGAGGCACTTACAACCATATGTGCTGTCCTCAGGGCAGTAGAGACAGAGGCCAGTGAATCAGAAGCCAGAGGTTACCACTAGAGATTGAATCTAAGTATAATTTGCCTATTGAGTTTCAAATTTTGATGACCAGACACTTTACCAATCCTTCCTTTTTGAGAGGGAGTGTTAACCATGCCTGTCTGTCCTGCCATCACAGTAACTAAGTGAATGACTTGTTTTTGAGGATATCCAGAGTCTTGCGAACCTCGTTCATGTGGTTTAATAGATGATTAAGTGATTTTTGAGTGAGATTGTGACACAAAGCTGATGTCGTAGTGGGTTGAGACTTTGGGGATTGGGTTTTGGTTGGATGTATTCTGGATCTCAAATATACAAGAATACGGGGTGCATGAATGCAAACCCTCAGAAGATATCCATGAATATGACCTTAATTTGGACAAAGGCCCTTTTGGTGGTTGTAAGTTAAGAACTTCAGCGCCTGTGTGACTGTCCACATGAAGGACAGGAGGAGACACAGGTCGCAGGAGGGCACACCAGGTGGAGATGGAGGAAGAAGATAAGCTACAAGCCCAGGAGCTGGAAGAGGCAGGCATCTCCCTGGAGTATTGGAAAAACAACTGTCCACATCTTGACATTGGACCTGTGGCCTTCAGAGCCAAGAAACAAAACCCCCAGTGTCTAACTGCCCCTAGCTGCAGTTGGAGTTGGTGTGGGGGTGGGGAAGGAGTGAGCACATACACTTTGTGGTTCAGGACATCTGAGCTTCCAGCGAGGCTGCTGTGGAGAGTGACAGGAACACAGTGCCAGGTACTGCCTTGAACTAGACCCTCATAGAGGTGTGTGACTCCTTGAGGGCCATGAAGGGAGTCAAGTGGCTTGGGCTGATCCTGAGGAACTGTAGGAAACAGGCTGCACCCCCTTTTCCTCTGTTGTCACTGTTCTGTTGATGTCACGGTGACATTGTACCTATTGTGTACAGTATTTGGAAATGTAGTGATAAGCCCTCTTCTACAGCAGACTGACCTCACACTGTCCTGAGGACCCAAGGGATTATTCCTCATCTTCCCTGCTCAGCCAAGTAAGATCTAGCCACCTGCCTCCTATTCAATTTATAATAAATATCAACCTTAAAAAGAACCAACCCAATAAAGCAGACAATGGCCAAAATAACCTTGCAAACACATCTGGACCTGGGCAGGAATACTGGTCTTGGAACAAGCACTGACCATGGACTGTGGCTAGGTCATTGACCGATTCCAGCCTCCACTGGAAAGTTACACAGAAGGGGAAAATTCCCTTGAGTCAAGAGCTCGCTTCAGCAACGTTCCCTTTCTGAGACTCTTAAAATCCTGGCATGATTCTGTCGCAATGAGTATCTGACTGTCAAGGAAATGAGCCTCAGGCTCAAGGGGTCATGGCCCTCTTGGGAGTTCGTCCTTCCTCTGAGCCTTGCTTCTGCACCCTGTGGGTTCTCCTCAAGGTGAAAAAAAACTAGGCAGACAATCCTCTGCAGCAGGCCCTCACATTCAGCCCAACCTATCAGTATAAGATGGAGGCGTAGGTCTAGGGCCAGAGGTCTGGCTAGGTCAGAAGGACCCTAGGTGGGTGCCAAGGGAAGTTCCCTGTCCTGGGCCATTGGGTGTGCCATGGGGACCCCAGAGGGGGTAGCTACTAACTGTCTGTCTTTCCGTTTAAAGGAAGGAGCCGCAGCCAGAGCCATCACCAAGGTCAGTCCCTCCTGCCTCCAGCTGTCCTGGCGTATGCCACGCCCATCTTGCCTTGCTCCCTCTGTGTGCACCATGTGTCACAGGGCAGGGCTGCCATGAGGCCCTGTGTGTGCTTCTGTGTGCAAGCGTGTTGATTGTGTGTCCCAGCACGCCCAGGGTCACTGCTCAGTTGCAGCCTTCTCCCAGGGATTTGAACTTAAGGTAGTATGGGTGGGGCTTCTTGGTGTCACCCCTGCCCCACCATACCCATGGTCCAACCCTGCTGGGGACCCTGAGGTTGGGGATTCCTAGTACCCTGCAGGTTTGCTGCCTGGATTTACTCCCTGCCAGATGGGAACTGCAAGCAGGGGCCCCTCCTGCCACCCTGGTGGGGAGGAAAATCCAGAGCTGGATGCTGGCAGAGGGGCAGAGGACTTTGTTTTCCTGACAACCCCTGAGGTGGGAGAAAGCTAGAGTCTTTCTGTGGAGGGTGAGGTGCCGTCTCCCCTCTCAAACCCCCTCAGTGGAGATTCCAATGTCACTGTTCCCTCTCCCAGCCCCTGCTAGCTCTGCTGGTAGAGAAGGGTGGGAACTGGCCATGCAGTCCTAGCTTTGAAAAGCAAAGAAAGACCATTTTACAGATTGCCAGTTCACAGTGTAACCTGCCTGGGTCCCCCAGCCCGCTGGGCTGATTGTTTTCCCTCTTATCCTCAGTGAGTTGTCCACAAGGTACAGTGTGGCTATGGCCCACAGACCAAAGGTCTCAGAAGGGACCTGCCTGCCCCTCTTGTGCTCTCTTGGATAGCAGGGTGACCTAGAATATCCAGAAACTGCTCTGGTGCTGGGAACAGTAGAATCAGGCCAAACCCATTCTCTGTCCATTGGAGAAGGACACGGCTTCTTCCTCCCCCATCCCATAAAAGGAGAATTTGTAGGTGGGTCCTGAATTGCAAAGACTGAAAAGCGTTTTGTCCCAAATCAGCTAAAGGGACAGACAGTAATGGAAAATGCTGGTCACTAATAAAACCAGCTGGAGAGTAGTGAGCAGCCCAGTGTAGTTTTGGCTGTTGACAAGTGGGGGTAAGAAAGGCAGCCCTACTTGGCCCTGGTCAGGGTAAAATGGGAGAGTGGGGGCAGCCTTGCTGCCCAGGGGTGCCCACACCGAGTCCTCACTGTCCATCAGGGTGATTCTGGCCTATCTTTCCCAGAACTGCCTCCAAGGGCCCTGGGGCCAGAGCCCTTTTGGCCATGGACACCAGGGCTGTGATTGGCCTAACCCTCAGCTGCGCCCCAGATGGACAGCGACGACCCTGATGGTGATGGGTCTGGAGGCTTCTTCGCTCCTCTCCACGCTGCCCTGCCTGCCCGACGCTTGCACCCTGGCTGGGAGCAAGTTGCCCAGGAGGTTCCTGGCCTCCAGCAGTTTCTGCGCTTGTTGCCGTAGCTTTAGCATTCCCTGTGGGATTCTCGTCTCAGCCTCTCTCTTTCTCTCTCTCCCTCTCTTGCCCCCCATCTGGAAAATCTTGCTGCCCCCAAGTGCTTTTAATCACTGTCACTGCCCTTCTCGGGCCCCTTTCTCGTCTGCTCTGTCTTTTGGGATGAGGTGCTGACCCTGAAAGCAGGACTCAAGGTGAGGACCCACGGGAGCCCCCGGCTCTCCGGTATGTTCCGTGGCTCCCCTGCTCTCCACCCCACCACTCCTCTGTCTTCCCTGCGTTTTGGTGGCCCCTGCCTGCCTGTGACCCCCCACTCCCTTCCCTGAGGGCCCAGGGAGGGCCCAGTGCCCACCAACCCAGCCCTCTTCCTGGGATGCTCTGGTCTGAAGATGCTCAGCTGGGGCAGCACAGTGGCCATCCCCAGGAAGGGTGCACAGGGCCTTTGCACAGACACTGGGCTCCTTGGAAGTTGAGGCACCTGGAGAGCTGGGTGCTGAGGGAGTGAGGAGCAGTTTCTGTCTATTGAAGACCCCTTCATTGGAATGCATACCTGCTGGCCAGGTAATGGAGGGTGGTATCTTTGGTCTCTTCCAGGAATAGCCATGGCCCCTCTTTAGCAACAAACATGTAGGAGGTATGCAGGGAATTGTATTGCTACTTGAGAGATAAGTAGCTGGTGAGCCTGCCCCTGGGCTGTTCTGTGACATGCTAAATGGGGGGGGGTACTGTCTGCCCAGCGTGCCCTACTATTTCTGGGCTCAGCCAGTCTAGCAAGAGCAAGTAGCTACATCTCTGCCTGGCTCTGGACACAGCCCTGTGCCTTACTTGGCAGGACCTATGTGGGTGGGTGGGTGGGTAGGTGGTTAACCCAGGACCTCTCTCAGCTGCCCAAAGACACCTTCCTGGTGTCAAGACACAGGTGTATGGGTCAAGTTTCTGGTGGTTGGTGGCTCTTTGTTGAGACCCAGATAACTAACTAGGCTGAAGTTGCTGGGGGGCGTCTGGGTGGGGGGAGCCAGGCCAGGTAGGAGCTCAGGCCTGTGCCACACCAGTATGTTTCTTGTGACTGCAGGTGTTGTGACTGTCCTTTGTGGTCCTGTCCTCTTCCTCAGTGCCTCCCGCCTCATTCCTAGAGGAGCCCTTAACCCGAGCTTTGCCCTTCTTATCCATGTGGGTCCAACTCTTCTTCACAGGTGGGGTGTCTGTGTGTCTTGGTGCCTATCTGCCCTGCCTGGCCTTGACCATTGTGGACATCTCTTCTCCCCACTGTGCTTGGGATCCTCAAGGGGTGACAAGTTGGCTCCTGCCTGGGGTTGAGATCTGCCAACCATTCAAAGATAGTGTAAAGCTCTACTTTGCTGATTGGGGCAGGAAAACCAGAAGGAATGGGAAGTGTGATGCCAGCTTTAATTGGGGTTCTTGGCACCCACCAAGCAGAGAAGGCAGTGGACAACAGCCCCCTCCTCCTTAGTTTTTGTTAGGCTCTGAGGCTGTGTTTTCCCATATAGGAATCACTAGCCACTTGTGGCATTCATTAAAATGGAAACAGTTCAGAGTCATTCCTTAGTCTCGGGGGCCAGGTGTGACTAGTGGCTGCTATACTAGACAGTGTGGCTGTAGTTTCCAGTGAAGACCTGGCCCTCAGAAGCTGTGCAGCTGGGGAGTAAAAGGGACCTTTCAAAGATGCTGGGAACAGACTATCCCTGTCCTTTGTTCTCAGGGTAGGCCTGGGACCTAGTTCCTAAGGGCCAGATGCTTACTTGCCTGACAGGCTGCTTGACCCTGGGTCAAGTCATTGAGAGTGCTGCTGACAGTGCCACTCTGTAGCAAGTTGGTAGCATGAGTCCAGCCTTAGTCCTACATCCCAGAGTGTTTAGGAGCCAAAGCTACCTATCTACCTAGAAAGCCAAATTAATGTGAATGCTGGGGCAGAAGTCTGCCAGGTGCACAGGGTCCTGGAGGAAAGGTCCAGGAGCTGGCCTTGCCTGGTCAGCAGGGCGTTCTCTGTAATCTCGCTCCCATTCTCACTGCTGGTTAGCCCTGTTAGGGAAGTGTATCCTTTGTGCCTAAGTGGAGAGACCTGTGCGCCAGAGACACATAGCAGGGACTGGGGAGTTTTGAATAAATGTGTGAAGGAAAATAGACCGCTGAATATTTTCTTCTTGAAGCTTGTTGGTGTCTCATAACCGAGGCCATCATACACATTGATTTCCTCTGGTGCAATGTTTGTGAATTGCTGTGTTAGTGGGAGGAGGGAGAGGCCTGGAGGGAAAAGAAACTTTTTTGTACTTGTTCATTGCTTCTTTTTCTTTTCTTTTTAACTTAAGAATTTTGCATGTTCTAGAATGGATGTGGTGATGCAAGTCTTTAATCCCAGCACTTGGGAGGCAGAGGCAGGTGGATTTCTGAGAGTTCTAAGCCAGCCTGCTCTATGTAGTGAGTTCTAGGCCAGTCAGGGCTACAGGGTGAGACCCTGTCTCAAAACAAACAGCAACAATAACAACAACAAATTTGCATGTTCTAATGCAAAAACAAATCTCAAGGGCTTGAGGATTCTTGGAAAGGGTCAACATTTGCTGGGATTTTGCTATGGTGCCTCTTTGGAACTCTGTTGGCCAAGGCCGTGGCAGTAAGGTAGACACCAAGAACCCAGATGAACTCCCTTGGGCAGTCCTCAATACGGGTATGTTCCCAAGCCAGCCACTTCTCCAGAGCCTCCTTCTAGTTGGGGGCAGCCACTGCCTCCCAGATAAGCGAAGCTCACTGCGCCAGGCAGGACAGAACCTCCTCTATTGGTTTGTAAAGCTAAACAGGACACTTTTTCCTTCCTAAAACGTGCATGCTTCACAGCGGTCACGCCCCAAATCATCTCCATCCACACCTGGCCTCCTGCAATGTCTTGGTTCATGTATTATTATTTTTGTTGTTGGCATGAATATAGCAAAAAATAATACATCTCTTAAGACATGAACCCACACTCTGGCTTTGGAAGGAAAAAAGTATTTTTGGAGGAAAAACACAGGGATTCTTTTTCTCCAAAATTAGGGAACTATTTTCTTTTCCAGGCCGCGGAAGACTTTCGCGAGCACACCTTTCTCACTGTACCCGCTCAGACGCAAACTCTGCGACTGGTGGGGGGCCGGGAGCTTGAACTCCCTGGGTGGTCACGGTGCCTCAGCTTACCTGCTCTCTGTTCGGGTCCTGTCGGCGCCCCCGGGACTAACTGTGCTCTCCTCATTTCCAGTAAAGGCAGACCGTGCCGAGGGTGCCTGTGTGGATGCTGCCCTGGACACTCTAGGTACCACGCAATGCTAGCACGGACTGACCACGCTGCACGCTCCTGCCCTCCCTGCTTACTAGAGGTTCAGGATGAGCCGGCACAGCGCCCACCCAACTATGAGTTCCCTGACGCCTAAGCGCGGGGTGGAGCTGGGCGCCTGGCCACCGCCTCCACACCAGGCCCCCTCCTGCCACAGCAGGGGGCCGGCTGGCCAGGGTTATTGCAACGGAAACAGTTCAGTGCCCTTCAGGGAATGTTTCCTCTGGGGCCGGCCACTCTGGTACCTCTACTAGGCATTAAGGACCAACCCTTAGCCGGCGCCTCACTGAGGGAGGTAGCTCGCTGTATTCTGGGCTCTTCAGACCCTCCAAAAGCCAGAGGCCATGGCTCCCTCTTCTGACTTGCAGGCCTGGTTTAGGGCAGACCGGAAACAGGATGGCTAAGAGCCTCCTAACCCTTTGCACTTTGACTATACCTTTCCCGTCCCTGTCCCCTGTAAGCTGTCCATGTGTGAAGGCGTCTGTCCTGCTTGCTCTGGGGCTCCTGCCTCCTGGTCACCCTCCCATGCCTGTTCCCTTCCTGGCTGGTGCAGCCCAGCCTTGTGCAGGCATCTGTGTTGCTCCCCGCATGGGAGAGCCCCCATCAAATGCATGTGGCCGGCAGTGCCGAGCAGCATGCTGTGCGTTTGCACCTGTGCATGCTCCCTGTCCTTCTCCATTGGGAGAGGGACTTGAGGGTCATCTCCCCACTCCACGGGCCTCTGCTGGCTCTTGTGCTGGAGGTGGGTGCTTGTGGGGAGAATATTGCAGCTACACACACAGGGAGCTGAGTGTCTCAGCTGCCCTGGGAGGTAGCCTGCTCTGGCCCTGGCTGAAGCTGCCTTGCTTGCCCAGAGCATCTGTGTCCAGGTGCTTCTGGCCACAGGCTGGACCTGCGGGACAGAGGCCGAGGTCAGGCTGCTTGGAGACAAGAAGGGCTGGGAAGGATGGGGCTGTAGGAGCCTTGTTAAGGTCCCCGTTGCCCCATGTGTTCTCCTGGACTGGTCCTTGGGCATCCTTGGTCCAGACACCGCCTGGGCAGTTTCCTGTGGATGCCGGCTCCCCACATTGCTGAGCCTGGGTCCCTGCATACTGACCAGAGGAAAGGCCATCTCATGGCTGGTCTCCGTTTGGATTTCATCCTTGGGAGGGTGACAGAAGAGAGAGGCTGAAGTTTGCTTGCTTCCCCAGATTCTTCCTGAGCTGACTCCCTGCCAGTGCCATGCCCTCACACACAGGATGGTTGGGCCATTGGCTCTCTTGCTGGGGCTGTGGAAGAAGCTCTAGAGAGCTCCCCACCTTGTGGTTGCTTTGTCCTTTGCTGTGGGTTGCAGCCCTCTGTGGGGTTAGAGTCTTAGCCTGGCTTTGCGTGGTTGACACCTCTGTTGGTAGCTGTGGGAGAAATCACCACTAGAGAGGAGAATTGGATGACTTTGGGTACTTGGCTGACTGGATACTCTGCCTGGAGGGACTTGTTGAAGTCACTTCCAGTTCCTCTTGATGCTACTTCCTGCAGAGGTTGGGAGCACCAGTGGGAACTTGACTCACCAGTACCAGCCATTGCACTTTAGTCTGCCTCAAAGCCAGAGTCAAAAGCATGCTAGCAGGAGACCCAGGCCTCCAGATTATAAACTATTGCAGCACTGAGTGACTCCTGGGATTCCAGCAGGAAGGTAGTGTGCAACTTGATTTGGACTGATCAACACCAGGCTGCCCAGTGGCAGTTCATCTCTCTTCCTTTAGTGTGGAGACTGGTGGGGCCAGAGGAAGAGACCCTGAGTGATACTGGGAAATATGAGCTCCCTTGGTCTGGAGTCTGCCCCAGGTGGACCAGGAAAAGCGCATTTTCCTTAGTCTTTAGTTGCTCCTGTGATGGAGGGGCCCACAGGAGGAGATAAGAACATTCTAAAAGCCAGAGGTCCCTAAACTGGACAGTCCTGAGTGCCTGGGTGGACCTTGATGCTGATACTACCACAGCCCTCCATCTGGGTATGGCTCTTTGTCAGTGGCCCAGTGTTCGGTTCTCCCTAGACCCACCTAGGATTCTGATAAGAAATGGGTCACAGAGGCTGAAGAGATGGCTCAGCAGTTAAGAGCACTGGTTGCTCTTACAGAGGACCCAGGCTTGATTCCCAGCACCCACATGGCATGTAACAACCATCCGTAACTCCAGCTCCAGGGGATCCAGCGCCGCCTTCTGACCTCCATGGCATTGCATGACATAGGTGCACTCACATACATGCAGGCAATACACTCACACACATAAATAAAAATAAAAAAATATTATAAAAAAGAAGTGGGTCATTAAAAAAAATTGCCGGGTGTGGTGGTGCACGCCTTTAATCCCAGCACTCGGGAGGCAGAGGCAGGCAGATCTCTGAGTTCGAGGCCAGCCTGGTCCACATAGTGAGTTCCAGGTCAGCTAGGGCTACAGGGAGACCCTGTCTCAAAAAGACCCCCCCCAAAGGATTCTGGGTGTCCCTGGCCCCTACCTGCCTGTGTGTGGCCTCCAGTGCTCCAGTGAGGCACAGAAGTCTGGACTCATGGCTGTTGTCTCAAGCCAGCAGAAGCCATTGGCTCCTGGTGCTCCCAGAACACCGAACACTGAAACTGTCTCAGTCTTCCCTGTATGGACTTTGTGCCCCTGACTTCCTCCTCCTCTTTTCTCTTCTTCAGAGAGCCTGGGTAGGCACAGATGGTCTCTCAAGTTGCCTGCTGCCTGAGTGGGGTGAGGAGGGTGGAACTGTGGCCATCTTCTTTGTGACAGTCACCTCTGCAGTGTCTGCTGGACCTGGACCTGTCTCTCTGGCTGATGGGGCACTGTGGTTGGGTTGTGAGGCTGGGTTCTGAGGCATTGGTTAGCAATCATGGGCATCACAGCTTCCTTGGAATTACCCCTAGTACCACCAGATGTTGCCATCCTGAGGAGACCCATGGTTCCTGTACAGCTGACACAGCGAGTCCCACTTCCTAAGAGGCTTGCTGTCCTCTGCCTCTGGAGTGATGGTGGAATAATCAGTGGGGAAAATAGCTGACCTGGATGGAAGCTGGTGGTTCCCAAGAGAGGGGTAAAGGCCACTTCTGCTGAGCAGCATAGCCACAGACTCTCCATCTCCTACTGCCTGGAGGGCAGTATAACTACTGAACTCTAGGGTTATGAAAAAACATAGGGACAAGGGAGGTCCTAGGACCTCTCAGAATTTGGAAACAGCAGCCTGATGGGAATGAGCTCGTGGGGCTAGCCACTATCCCCCCATTCCTAAAGTTACCACCTGTGCCCAAGGCTTGGGACAGCCAGGCTTGTGATAGTTGAAACCTGATTGCAAAGTCACTGCTGTCCTCTTAGAAGCATCCCAGGGTTCTGGAGCCCAGAGACTGGGCAGTGCTAGGCATGAGCCCCACATAAAGGCTAGACAACTTCTGGGAGTCATAGGAAAGGCTAGAGTGGATCTAAACACATCAGCTGTTGCCCTTGCCTCTGCTAGCCTGGGGCAGGAGGTGGCATGGTGGGGCAGGAGGTGGCATGGTGGGCCAGGTGGGAGGGACTCCAGGAGCGGGAAGTTGTGGGCTGGGCTAGTGCAAACAAAAGTCCAGGAAAGAGGTCCAGTCCTAAGTGTCTGGGAATGTATCTGGGTGCCACTTAAGGAGGCTGACAGGACAGTGTGGTGGGGGTTTGGGCACTTTGTGGTGATAGCTGAATGATTTAGGAGCCCCGCCGTCGCCTCCCCAGCTCTGGCCATATCTGTGTGGCTCCTCCCCTCTTCCCTGTGCTTGACTAGCCACTGCTCCCTGTTCCCAGTGTGGTCCATCATTCTTTGGACCTCTTTGGGGTAGAGTGGGGCGGGAGTTGAGGCATCAGCCATGAACATATACAACCTGTTATTTCCAGAGTGACTTCTCTTGCTGTTTTTTTGTGTCTGTCTGTCTCTGTTCATTCTGTCTGCCGGTTGGTTCTTGTGGGAACAGTCAGAAGGTCAGTTTGAAAGATCGTGTCTTCTCCAGCCCCCGAGGCGTGGCTGCCAAGGGGAAGGGGTCTCCTCAGGCCCAGACGGTTCGGCGGTCCCCCAGTGCTGACCAGAGTCTTGACGACAGCCCAAGCAAGGTGCCCAAGAGCTGGAGCTTTGGTGATCGCAGCCGTGCACGTCAGGCTTTTCGCATCAAGGGTGCTGCATCCCGGCAGAACTCAGAAGGTGGGTTGGTACAGCATCACCTTCCCCAACGCTAGTGGCTGCTGGCTACAGGGCACAGATGGCAACCTCTTGGAGCAGAAAGCCCCCACTCTTTTTTTTTTTTTCTTTTTTGAAGTAACATCATGTAAGATGAACCACTTTAACACATACCAACCACTGGCATCTTGTAATTGCATTGTTTGTAGTGCCACATCTGTGCAGGTAATGGAGAGGAAGCCCTGAGCCCTCTAGGGATCACCCTGACCCTCCAGAGCCCTGGCCTCTATACGTGCTTCTCTACAGCTCAGCTGTGCATGTCACATGAGTGGCATTGACCCTCCTGTGGTCCATGGTGGCTGTTGCCCACTGAGCATGGTGTCCCAAAGGGTCATGGGTGTTGTCATGTGTTATAGCTTTGTGCCTTTCTTGACTGAATAGTGACCACATTGTGGTCATCCATTCATCTGTTGACAGGGATGTCCTTTTAAACCCTTATGTCTGCCACTGCCCGCAGGCCATAGCTTTTGGAGAAGAGCCTGTGAGAGGAGGGCCGCAGAGAAGTGGGGGAGAGTGCAGCAGGAACATTGGAGGGGTATCCTGGGGAGGCCTGAGGGGTCTCTGATGATCAGCCTGAGGACTGTGCCCTGTTGTGACTTGTCCACTCACAGCTTGTACTCCTTTCACCCAGAAGCAAGCCTCCCGGGAGAGGACATCGCGGAGGACAACAAGAGCTGTAACTGCGAGTTTGTGACTGAGGACCTGACTCCTGGCCTCAAAGTCAGCATCAGAGCTGTGTGGTGAGGGACTCCTACCCAGTCTTCATAAGAGGGTCCTGTTTAGTGACCTCATTGGGCCAGGCAGAGCCTCCAGGGATTACAGCCACTGAGAAAGCAAAGGTCACAAGGTATCTTGAGGAAGACCCTACCAGCTCCAGCTCCTGTGCCTGTCAGCATGTACCTAGAAGGCCAGGGAGACCTGGAAGAGCTGGCTGGAACCAAGCCCCTGCCTGTACAGGTGAAGTGGGGGCCAAAGGCAGGAGACTGTTTGTGGACAGCCTATACCAGTGGTTCCCAGGAGGATGGGTCCTGTCTTGAGGCTAGGTATCGAGTGGCCCATGGTGAGGGAAGGTGGCCCGGATGAAGAGATACTACTTCTCCAGGGACCATGGTCTTAGAGCTGCTTGGAGGGTGACAGGCAGGTGGACATGGGGGTTGACCCTGGTAGTATAGCCTGTAGCTGGAGTTCATGGTCCATCTGTCTCTGTAGTGTTATGCGGTTCCTGGTGTCCAAGCGAAAGTTCAAAGAGAGTCTGCGCCCATATGACGTGATGGATGTCATCGAACAATACTCGGCTGGACATCTGGACATGCTATCCCGCATCAAGAGCCTGCAGTCCAGGCAAGAGCCCCTGCCTGTCCAGTCCAGGAGTGAACAGGGTCCTCTGAGCCAAAGCCAGGCGTGGCACAAGGGGCATCAAGGGCTGGGTGAGAGGTGTGCAGGGCAGGGCCAGTGCCAGCACTGGAGGTCTCTTCCCACCCTGTTGGCTTCTTGTTGCTTTCTGCTGTGTCTTCACACTGTCTGTCTGTTTTCAGTATTTCTCCTGTTCCTCCCTTCTCTCCTCCCCCCACCTGCACTGTGGTGGCAAGTGTGTATGTTCACATGCACATATGTATGCACATATGTATGCACATGTGTCTGAATGTGTACACGTGTGGGTCTCTGAATACAGTCATGTGTATTCACAAGTGCATGCATGTGCAAATATGTGTGTGAGCATGTGCATATGGTGTGTGGGTGTGTGCATGAGTGCTGTGTGCTCCGCTGTGTATGCACACATGTGTGTTGGTATGTATGAATGCATGTATGCATGTGTGTGGTGTGCACATATGTGCTGAGAAAGGAGTATTTCTATGGAAAGATGAAACTGCAGGATTTCTGTGGACCCTGCCAAACAGTGGCATCTCCCCCATGGGGGGGGTCCTACTTCCTGAGTAGGAAGCACATCTGAAGCTTGGGGGGAAGCTGCACCCACTTATCTGTGTGTGAGACTGCCAATGTACATTCACTGTGTACACATGAGAAAGGTGTGAGTCCACATGTATTCCTCATATGCAGGCACATGCAGGTTGTCCACATACAGACCCATGTCCAGGTTTCAGCTTACCCCAGTGTGCTCACAGGAAATACCCTCAATCACACAATATGCTCAATGTATGCATTCCCTGTATGCAAGAGTGTACAGGTATGCACACAGCCCATGTTCACAATTGTTCCAGTCTGCCTTATTATGTGCTCATAGGCATGTACCCTTAGCCACATGCATCATGCAGTTACATGAGGTTTGATCCACAGGGATGGGAGTATGTCCTAAGGTGGAATACACCCGCCTTCAAGCCCTAGAGATGAAGCCTGGGTCCTGGGGACAGTCCAGGGTGCACCACATGGTTGCTCTACAGCAGTAGCAGATATCGGAGGACAGGACCTCTCTCAAAAGTGGGAGCCAGGGAGGTACCCCACCAGCTTAGACTAGGGCTTCTTACTGGCCTTCCCAGAGCAGAGGCAAGACTTGCGCTGTGTGTGGTTGAGTGAGAATCTCCAGCCTCAAGTCCTGCACCTGTCCCCACAACTGTTTTCTCAGCAGGTTCTTCACCCACACTTTCCCTTTCCTTCTCTTTATGCCTGGAAAACAGACAAAAAAAGACCCTACAGTAAGGAGCTCTGTGCCTCTGGCCTCTGATGCTGAGCTGTGTTGGTCTCCAGCTGTGTCCTCTCTGGGACCTGGCTTCCAGCACCAATCCATCTGTATGCCACCTGGGGTTCAGCGGTAGGCCAGATGGCTGAGGCTCTACTCCCATGCCCAGTACTGTGCTTGGGACATGGGAAAGGTCTGGCAGATGCAAGGGCCAGAGTGTGGGTTGACTGCTCTCTTTTGACCGCATGTTTTTCAAAAGAATCACTGTTGTCAAGTTCTATGTTTTTGTGCATGCCCAGCAACTCGCTGTGAGTTGCTTTATGATGCGTTTTGCTGGTGTCTCTCTTCTTGTTTACGCTGCCAGGATAGATATGATTGTGGGCCCCCCACCCCCTTCAACTCCCCGGCACAAGAAGTACCCCACCAAAGGACCCACGGCCCCTTCGAGAGAGTCACCCCAGTACTCACCTAGGTTAGGACTCGCTGCCTCCTCCTGACTTGTCTGTGAATGGCCAGCCCCTTCGCTCCAGGCTGCATGACGGCAGCACCTCGCACCATTCTCTCCATAAGACAGGGGACATTCAGGCTCTCTCTCTTGAAGGGCATGTTAGGGAAAAGGCCACTCTTTGCCAGGGTTAGTGGGCAATGCCCAAGTCCTCCATCTACAGGGCTCTCCTGGATGGATGTCTCTATGACATCTGCTGGGGCTGCTGGCTCCAGGATGAAGCAGAGGGCTTCAGTGGCCATGACATTGTCTCCTTGCCTAGCTCAGGCCCTTCACGCCTGCCTGTTGCTGGGGTGACCACACATTGCCCAGACCTTGGCCCTGTGTAGATAAGAACAGATGGGGCTGCTTCCCTGGGCACCTTTCTTAGGTATTATATGTACCTGCCTCTAAATTGTCCTGAAAAATAAATTAGGGGCTAAGAATGTAGCTCAGTGATAGAACACTTGCCTCGCATCTGTAAGGCACTCGGTTTGACTTTCCCCGTACTGCAGAGGCAAAATTAATGAGAAAAGTTCTACAGGGCATCCAACACTAGGCTGGCTCTCTGCAAGCTCTGGTCTTATTTCAAGTTGCCATCACCATCCTTGGTGCCATTGGTAAGGAAGATGTCAGTATACCTTACCCTGGCCCTCAGCTGATGACCAGGTCAGGAAACAGCCATGTGACAAAAGCAGGACCCACATGGTTGATGGAGGCTTCAAGGCTTCTGGCTACCCTGGGACCACTCAGATAATGATCTGTTCCCCTCTAGCAGGCCTGATTTAACACGAAGAATGAAGCTCTCAGGGGTGGGTGCAGGGAAGGCAAGCGACACTGCCCTGCCTGGTGATGGGACAAGGGGTTCTGGACAGCCTAAAAATTCTGGGCAATTGAAACTGGCAGGTGCAGCATCTATGTACCTCTTCGGGCCAGGGTTGCTGCTGATGGGGTCAAAGGTCAATGTGCTGCTAATCTTAGCCCATGAGAGAGGGACCCTGGGGGAACAGGCTGGAAGCAGCTCTTGGTCAGATGACATCCAGCATAAGAGTGGTCCATGACATCATTTGTCGAGTGCAACTGAAGCCCATTCAATCCCTGGGTCTTGTTGCCAGGCACAGAGGCTAGGTGTCTAGGCCATGAGCAGGGAAGGCCCTGCAGATCTCAGAGCTCCCTCCCTCAGCCTTCCCTTACAGTGCAGCCAGGGGATTCATAGGCACACACAGGAAAGGTCCTTCAGTACAGCTGGCACTCACCACCCAAGAGGTGAGTGAACCTGGGGATTGAGTCTGGTGCCCCAGGCTGAGCCCAGCGGGGAGGAAGTGGTTCAATGTTCTCAGAGGACACTTGTCTGGCCGCTCTGCAGCAACTCTAGGCCCAGCCCTGGGGCCCACCAGGCAGGCGGCCTGTCATGTGGCAGGGGTGAAGGGGCTGTGCATCTGTGCCTGGACCATGTGGATATTGGAACATCAGGGAGCCTGTCTCCTCACCATCACCACTAGCATCTGCTTGGAACCAGAGGGTTCCCTCCTCCTGTTCCTCCTGCCATCCCTCCCACCCTCCTGTGCATGAGCCCAGCATGAGCCCAGTGGAGCATGCGGAGGCTGCCCCTGGCTGATGCGAGCCTGTACCGTCCTCCAGGTCATGAATAGAGAGTTTCCACAGAAGCAGGTAGGGCACCCTAGTCTGCAGAAGATGGAGCAGGGCACCTGCTGACATGGCCTGCTGGGATGTGCTTTGTGTGGGGCTACATGACTCAGCAGCCTGGGTGGTCTTGCTCAGCCATACTGTGCATCCAGTGGGCTTACAGACTCCACACAGGCTCTTTCTAAGTGGGCTGTAGTTCCCAGCCCATCCCCATTCCTGTGGCACCTGCCAGCCCTGCCATGGCCCTCTCTGCCTTCACAACCTGCCATGGATCTGTTGGTGTCACACTGGAAAGACAGGACAAAGGGATTCCTTCACTTCTTGTTAGTATCAATGACCTATGGCCTCAATATTGATCAGCTTGCACACACTCATTTGTGAGTACATATGTATCATACTTGCATGCATGCATCTGCACACCTGTGTGCACCCCCCCCACACACACACAGTCCTTGGTTAGCAGCTCTTATCTTTTCTCTGTGCTTTGGCAGTTTCCTGTGTGGCCCTTGTTCCCTCCTCCCCTGTCCTAATGCATGGGGCTGCCACTCCCACTGCATTCCTGCTTCTGTCATCCTTGCTGCAAACATTTAACACTGTCCCTGCCACAACCATTGGGGCCTGAGGGACTCCATGGCACATTAATGTGGAGTAAAGCTAGCAAGAAGTGGCTTCTTGGGCAGAGGCATGACCACCCTTACTCTAGCCCCTTTGCTGGATGCCAGCTGGTCATCACTGATCCCCTGGGTCTCAGTTTGCAGGACCAGGGAGTCCAGGTTCAGGAGGAGAAGGACGAGGTGGGCCTGATGGGGGTGGAGCTACATTGGAGAGGAGCTGAGAGTGGGCCTTCCCTTTACTCCTCGTTAATGTGCCAGATCCCACAGGAATGGATCAGATAGAAAACAGGACCCGAGATGTCAGAAGGCAGCCTGAGATTGTAAGGCACCAGTGTCCATCTGTCCTGGCACCTGCTGCCCCCTGGTCGGCTCTGAACGGGGCTCAGAGCCTGGATCTGGGGGGCTGTGGGCTGGCCCAGGAAGAAAGGGCAGGGGCCTGGCCATACCCTCCTAAACTCATACTCGGGGATTGGGTCTCTGTTCCCGCTAGAGTGGACCAGATTGTGGGACGGGGCCCAACAATAACGGACAAGGACCGCACCAAAGGCCCAGCAGAGGCAGAGCTGCCTGAGGACCCCAGCATGATGGGACGGCTTGGGAAGGTGGAGAAACAGGTAGGAGAGGTTTATGAGGGGCATGGCCTCTGTTGTCCTCCAGTCCTACTTTGTTAGCTTGTGACAAGCAGCCCTGGTTTAAGGGTAGATTCATCAGGAGGGGCATGGCTCTGAGATGCTCCTGAGTCCCTGGGAATTCCCCTAGCCTGGCACTCTTACTTCTGATAGCCAGTATCTGGAGACAGGAAATGCCTGAGTGTGCCAGTTTCTCTCTATATCCTGTGGAGTATGACTTGTATTTGAGGGTCCTCTGGCAGGGGTAACCACTGTGGAACATGCCAGAAGTCATACTTGGTCAACTCTTACTTCCTCCCCTTTCCTTGCCCAACACCCACCCCTAGTTTCCTGGGAGTGGGTTCTCAGAAGCTATCACATAAGACCCCTCTGTGAGCTGGCCTGAACTCAAGCACACAGTAGTTGAGGTGCTGGAGTGTGGGGTGGAAGAAGGACAATTCCTCCTCTCCCTTCGCACCTAGAAGTGTGTCCTGGGTCCTCTTCTTAAAGTCCTAGCCCAGCAGCTGTCCCTCTTGTAGGTCTTGTCCATGGAGAAGAAGCTGGACTTCCTGGTGAGCATCTACACGCAGCGAATGGGCATCCCACCGGCAGAGACAGAGGCCTATTTTGGGGCCAAGGAGCCAGAGCCGGCACCACCCTACCACAGCCCAGAGGACAGCCGAGAACATGCGGATAAGCACGGCTGTATTATCAAGATTGTCCGCTCTACCAGCTCCACTGGCCAGAGGAACTACGCAGCGCCCCCAGCCGTGCCCCCTTCTCAGTGCCCTCCATCCACCTCGTGGCAGCATAGCCACCAGCGCCATGGTACCTCCCCTGTAGGAGACCACGGCTCACTGGTGCGCATCCCACCACCCCCAGCGCATGAGCGTTCGCTGTCCGCCTACAGTGGGGGCAACCGGGCCAGTACCGAGTTCCTGAGGCTGGAGGGTGCCCCGTCCTGCAGGCCTCCTGAGGGTGCCCTGCGGGACAGCGACACATCCATCTCCATCCCCTCTGTGGACCACGAGGAGCTGGAGCGTTCCTTCAGCGGTTTCAGCATCTCCCAGTCCAAGGAGAACCTGGATGCCCTGGGCAGCTGCTATGCGGCTGTGGCGCCATGCGCCAAGGTCAGGCCCTACATTGCAGAGGGGGAGTCTGACACAGACTCAGACCTTTGCACACCCTGTGGGCCCCCACCACGCTCTGCCACTGGTGAGGGCCCCTTCGGAGACATGGGCTGGGCAGGGCCCAGGAAGTGAGACTGTGCTGGGCTGCTGAGCCCCCTGCCACACCCACTCTAGCTCCTGGTTTAGGGCTAGAGCCTCGGGCCTTTCCTAGAGTGACAGAGTGACCTAGAATGGCATGGGTTGTGAGGATACCTGTGGGGTCTGGCTCTCAGGGTCCCCATGGGGTGGCGAGCAGGCAGGGCTCTTTGGTGCACATGGTGATGTTTTACAAAAGTTCTTTCCCAACCAGGGGCGGGAGGTTGAGGCCAGGCCCTGGTGGTCCTAGGAGCTCCCTGTGGCAGCAAAGCCAGCCCTGCCCAGTCTTCTTGGGGGATAGACATCACCCTGTGAGTGAGGAGGGACAGAGTGATGATGGTGCCCACAAATGGGGGTGTGGCTGGGAGCAGGCCCAGGGAAGGTGGTGAGTCAAGCAGTCCTGTCTACTGATGATGGCTGGCTTTGAGGCCCATGGGCTCTTCCAGCTTGGGCTGGGAGCTGAGGAGGGTATAGCAGGTCACTGGGCATGGCCCACTCTCACACCTGACAGCTTGTCTCTTGGTTCCTGCCTGCCTCAGCAAGGTATTGCCTGGTCCACCGTCTGTGTATGACTGGGCAATGCCCCTCATCCCTGGGCGCCCAGCTAGAGAGCTGCCGGCCAGCATCTCCCTCCTCCTTCTGGGTTCTGTGGGTCTTTCCAAGGGAACCACCCCAAATTCAGTACCCTCTTCCTGAAGCTGAGGAAAGAACGAGGCCTCAGGGACCAAACTGGAGCCTCAAATTGACCCTTGGACCCTCTTGACCTCTGCCTCTCGTGGAAGGGCCCAACTCACAGCCTTTTCTGAAAGAGGGTTTTTGCGAGGCTTCAGCTGCTTCGCCTCTGGCACCCCAGCCTAGGAAGTTTAGGTAGGTACCTCATAGCCACTGCTATTTCCTGATGTGGCATTGGTCTCCAGGCTGTGGCCAGTACTTTGAGAGAGCCACCTGGTAATCAGATCACCCTACAGACCCAGGCAGGGGTGAATGATATGAAACCAGCCAGGAAATCTCCAAACTGCCAGCTCATTCCACCTGAGGCAGTGGCACTGTGCCTGGCTGAGACTTCTTCCCACAAGAGCTGACCATCCCCAGCCACTCGTCTGCTGACACGTCCCCTGGATGTCACCTCTGGGTGTTTGGGAGAGTTGGGACACTGTCCTCAACTCTGGTGAGCAGGGACCTTTGTCCTTGCTATGATGGGTATCTTGGGCTGTTGGACAGCCAGCTTTAGAAGGAGACAAGGCAAAGTTGAGCCCTCAATTGTGGTCCTTCTGCATCTGGGCCAGAAGTATCTAGCATTTTGGGGTGGGGACCCCAGGCTCTCTGAAGCAGTGGCCGCCTTTCTCACTGAGGGAAGCACTCTATAGCTTGAGCCTGGGCAGAGCTCTGCCCACTTCTCACACCCTGTGTTTGAAGTGTGTTTGGCTGGAGTAGAGGGAGTCTGGGGTCTATGGTCAGGAGGAGGCATCCCTCCCACTGAGGAGAGCTTGGGGTTATGCCTCTAGCTATTAGTGGCCTGGACATTTGGGGAGCTGTCTGCTGTCTGCTATGGCCTTGCATCTGCCCTCCATGTCAGGACTTCTAGGGTCCCACCTCGGGGTGCCTCTGCCAGGCTCCTGGTTGGGGGCCTGTTCATGTTGGCTCTAATGCATGCACATTCTCTGGTTCTCTAGGGCCATGTTGTGGCAAAAAGCTCCTTGGTGGTGAGAAATGTCTCTTCTTGGCATGGAATGGAATGTGGGCAGAAATAGTGGCCACTTCTTCCCTAACCCCATCTTGGAGAGTTGACTTGGAGCATTGAGGCCAGGTCCGAGCTCCCCCCACCACATTACCCTCTGTGGTGGGACAAACAGGCTTCAGGACAGGAGACAAGCACATCTGCCTGACCTACTGGCAGTCCCCAGAGAACTGCTCCTCTAGGCCTAGGGCAGGTCAGAGCTGTCTCAGCTACAGGGCCTATGTGAGGGAGGTTTGTGCCTGTCACACATGCTCAATATGCTGTGTGCCTTCTGTCCCCAGAGCTGTCGTGGCTGCAAGAGCCTAGGGTACCCTGAGCTGGGGTTTTGTGGGATGAGGAAAGTTGACAGATGCCCACCCCCCCCCGAAACCCTGGCCACACAGTATTCATCAGGAGGGCTTTCTTAGGTTTACAGCAAGAGGGAGACAAGAAGGCCATGGCCTGCTCTGCATCACAGGAGCCCTGGCAAGACTGGAGTGTTGGCTGCTTAGAGGAGGGAAGGTACATTTCAGAGAGATGAGCAGTGATGGAACCCCTTCTTGGGGGCCTCTAGACCCAGGCCTGAGCAACACAACTGTCACTGCCTTGGCATCCGCCCCCTCAGGGATGTGAAACAAGAAAGAGGCAGGAGGCTCCTGAGAAGTTTATGCACTTCCTTGGGTTTATTTATATATGATCAGGTGTGGCTGAACTCCAGTGGCTGCCCCACGGCAGAATTTTCCCCAGACATTTGTCACAGCACATCCCCTCATGCCCACCAGCACACAGACACACACTGGGCACACATTCACACATGTGCACACAAAAAGGTATGTGCACTCACATGGACACAAGTGCACATACTGGAGGTGCATTCCCCCTTCCATGTACTCTTATATGTACACACAAGCTCACAGTTCACCAGACCACATGTGACAGGTACACATACATACACGTGAGTGCACGGGCTCTCAGACCATATTAGATTCACGGTTCCACACATGTACACAGCAGGTATGCACTTTTACACCTGCATTTTCAGGTATGTGCGCACATACATGAACAAGTAATCTACATATACACATAAATGCCCGTGTAGAGCCCCCCTTCCCCCAACTTTACCCTAATCTTTTTGTTTGACTCTTCCTGATGGAGGCTACCTGGAGAGGGAGCCAAGGAATTAATGATGAATGGTTCTAAAATGTGGAACGCTGCCTGGGGTTGGGGCTCTGGCTGTCCAGAGCTCCTTGGCAACAGTGGCAGAGAATTCACCTGGAGTCCATTGAATTTGCACACTGCCCTCTCCCTCTAGTGACTAGTGGCTGTCTAGGTCTTGGGGCTGCAAATGCCAAGAGAGGCTGAGGCTGAGATGGGGTGGGGGGGGTGGTCCAAGCATCAACCAAGGGTCCAGATCTGTCTTTGCGTTAGGTCAATGTTAGGTGCTGGCCAGCTCCAGTGCCCTGCTGTACACATGCCTGCCTCATGGGCCCTGGTTCTTATTGATGTTTTCTGGCCTATCATCTCCTTTCTGTCCTCCAGAGAGTGCACCCTCATCTGCCAGGGTCACCGGGAACAAGGGTCCATCTGCTCTCACATGTGGCCTGGGCAGGGCAAATGTCTACTTGAGGCCATAAGCTGGCTCTCAGTTATGCTTCATCTTTAGGGGGCTCACCCCAAGCCCCTATTTAGAAGCTAGGGGGTCACTGGACACTGCATGGACCTTAGGAGACCCTTTAAGCTTTGGGTCCAATTATTCCCAGTCTTCACAAAGAGGACAGCTACAGCCAGGGCCACCTGGTTTAATACACTGGTTTAAGGTTGCTTTCTCCGAGCTGGTGGCCCCAGATTCCAGATGTGGAAAAGGGGACCATTCTGCCTTCTGCCACTCCTACTGGGTTCACCCCATATCACGGGCACTGTGAAGAATACCTCTGCTTTTTGTGGAAAGAACTGGGACCACAGACTCTCCCCCAGAGTTTAGAGGAGCTAGATACAGATGCGCCTTTCAGAACACGAGTGTGTGTCTGTTAGCTCACTGGCTATAAGTAGTGCAGGGAGTGGAGGCCACTACACCTGCCCACAGTTCATCCCAAGGCCACTGCATCTGCTCCTGGCTCACCCCAAGGCCAACAGGACAACACTAAAGCCTTTCTCTGTGGTCACAACCTCTTGAAACAAACATGAGAGGCACGATTTGAATAGTGGAGCCCACTATGGAGGGACTCAGAGATGTCCCAGGCACCTTGCATCCCAGCAGGGTAGGCTGGGGTTGGAGTAGGGGCTCCATTCAGGGTACCCCTGGGGCCTAGGTTCACATAAATAGAATCAAAACACCTGATGTCATCTTCCCTCAGCTATGGGACATACATATTTGTTCCCTGCTTCCTCTAGACCTCCCAGGCCACCTACTTGTCAGCAAAGGATGTGAGATGTGGAAAGGGGGCTGGGAAGGGTCTGCAAGCAGGACATCACCTGGGGTTGTCTGCATGGCTGCCCTATGCTCTCCTTGTGTCCCAGCAGAGCTAAGGAGGAAAGAGAAGCAGAGAAGGTTCCCAGAGGAGGCACTGTGAAGGAGAAGAGGGCTCAAGGGAGAACCAGCTGCCTCTTTCTCAGGATGTACCCACTGCATACCCTGGGGGGCCCAGTGTCCGTGGGAGTGAATGAAAGGGGCCATAGTTTGCTGACTGTTGCTTACCTGTGAGTTGGGTCTGGTAGGAGACCTTGGGAGAAGAGGCTTTGAGGAAGCTCCAGGGACCAGGGTAGGGAGAAGTAGGTACAGCCTGGGAAGGAGACCTGCCAAACATCTAGAGGTACCCACAGTTCAAATTCGTTCAGAACTCTATCTTCAATGTTGGCCTTCGTGCTCTGGCTGACAAAGGGTGCTGGGTTCTGCCCATGGCCTGCCCTAAGGTTCCCCTGGTGTCTAACCTTCCTTTAGAGAAGGGATAGTTCCCAGGCTTCTGAGGCTGTGTGCTCCTGGGGCTCCTGGGTAGGAGTGCACATCACTAGCATTGCACATCCAGTTGGGACTGGCTTTTACAAAGTTGTTGCCTTAATGCATGTTGAGGGAAATTCACCAAGGTCACCCCTACCTCTGCCAGACACAGGCACACTGGACTCCACCTCTAGGTCCTGCTGCCGGAGAGGAGTGCTGGCAGGAAGGGCTGCCTCTAATCATCTCACTTGGGGGAACTCAAAGCTGTGGTACCCTTGACACCATTTAGCTGCCTGGGATGGCTCCGCACACAGTGCAACTTGCCTATGCCCCCAGCCTGCACCCACCCACCGCAGTCTTGTCCCCCGGCCACACCCCATCTGCGCTGTTGCCTTTGGCTGTCTTTGCACTTTTGTTCATGCTCCAAAGAATATTTCATAATGCCTTCATACTGACGTGCACCCTTACCATTTTGTATGTGCCCTTGGGCCACAGCGACCGGCCTTCTCCTTCTGGCCAGCGTGCCACCATCTGCACACTTCACTCTTGACTGTGCACCCGCCGTCTTCTAGGGATAGCTGCCCAGGGAATGAACTCTAGTTTTCTAATGGACTAGTTAAGATGCTAACTTACCCAACATGGACAGGCTGGAGCATGTGGTGTGCCAGCAGGCCGATGTGGGTTCCCTGAGAGCCTCAGGGCAGAATCCTGCAGCAGGGACGCATGTGGTCAGTTCTGGAGGGTTCTGCTGCCACAGAGCTGAGTTCAGATGCCCAGTGGACCTGTGCACTTAGTAAAATGCGGTGATCCAACCTGGACTGCCTGGACTCTTTACTTTGCATGTTCTCCTGGGCTTGTATGAAGGCTGGGGACTTGACTGGGACGGGGCGGCCACCTGAGCCTTCAGATCCAGGGGCTCTTGAGCTTCAGGTTCTGTGCCTTCTGGGGTTGTTACCAAAGTTGTTATCCCGAGCCCTTGAATCCTAATAACCTAAGTTCTCAACCACTTATCCTAAATAGGTTAATTAGTCGGGCAAGTAGTAGTGAAAAGCAGACAAAGGAGATTTATTCAATGTGACGTCACTGGAAAGAGGAACAAAGAGGTCCAATGTCTCACACACATCAAATCCATCTTCAGGGTCTTGGCATGAGATGTAAGTTTAAACATAGGGCAGGGATATGTGTAATCCAGAGGCCCTGCACATCATCACGATATCAGTTCCAGTCTCTCCTGCAAGGTACTTTGACAAGTGTCAGAACTATGTGGAATCTCTTCCTGGAGACAAATTCCACCTATGCCTGGTACCGGGCTTCAGGCTTTTCCTTCTCCCTGTGTAAGTTTCTTGGGGGGAAATGCCAATTTCTTGGGGTCCTTGCTTTAATGGTCTGATAGCCAAAGGGAGGGGCACAAGTGTCTCTTTTTAGAATATCTTTGTTCTATTCAGGGACAGTTACAGGGCCACTTTCAAACAGCCACAAACCTGAGGCTGTGAAGCACCAGACATGTCTCATCCACTCTGGAGCCAAAGACACACACACCCAGACCCTCAGGAGCATGGTGTCCAGCTGTCAGGAGCAGCAGGATCCTGGGACAGGTGCCTCTAGTGTGGGCCATCCCAGCCCCACACTCTTCAACAGTGAGCTGGTTCACTTGCTTAATATATTGGGTCTGGATGACGCTATAGCCACCTGGGCCTGCAGGAATCTGGCCGAACTTACCTTGTTGCTGGTGCTCAGCCTAGTCTCTGATGTCATCCTGAATCCTGGTGGCTTCCACTTTTCTGGGTATGGCCATGTCCTGTGGTCCTCCTGCTCATGATCAGTTTCCTCCCAATGGTGCCTGCCTCATTTCTCTGTGCCTATAAGTTTCTGTGGGATCAGGACAGAGGCTAGGAGTTTACTGTGATCGACAGAGAAGCCCTGAATAACCAAGACTTACACTTGTCCAGAGAGAAAGAGAACACCCCAGTGTGTGGGAAACTTGTGGGCAATCTGATGTCCTGTTCCTCTGCTTTGCCTGGATTCCTCATTTAGGGCATCATGGGCCCTGTATGACTGCTGGAGTCAAGCCATTACGTTTTTACTGCAGCCAGAAGAAGATTGGGAAATGGCATCTTTATACCAGGTGCCACATACTTGATTAAAAGAAAATGTCATTATTAAGAGAATAGATAAAAATGACTGAGGGTTACCAGCTGCCTGTGCTCTGTGGGTGCACCTGACTCACACAGCAGGGTCATTCGGCCTTGGGTTAGACAGAGCACAGTGGAATGGGCAGTATGCTAGTCAGTCTTTGTCAGCCTGACACAAACTAAAGTCACCTGGGAAGAGGGAGCCTCAGCTGAGGAATTTCCTCCATCCGATTGGCCTGTGGGAATGTCTGCGGTGCATTTTCTTGATTACTGATTGATGTAGAAAGGCCCAGCCCACTGTGGGAGGTGCCATCCCTAGGGAAGTGGGCCTGAGCTGTTAAAGAAAGTCAGCCGAACAAGCCAGTAAGCAGCATGCATCCGTGATCTCTGCTTCAGTTCCTGGCTTGAGCTCCTGCCTTGACTTCCCTTGATGATGGACTATAGCCTGTAAGCTAAAAGAAGCCTCTTTTCCTCAGCTTGGTTTTGGTCAGTGTTTTATCACGGCAACAAAAAGCAAACTAGAACAAGTCATTTCCTTGGGTTAGAGTCACACCTACCCCACTGAGGCTCTCTGCCATTTGTGCTGGCCATGGTCCCCCTGCCCAGGTTTCTTGTGGTGTGCCCACAGAGAGCTCCTGCCCTGCATCCCCTCTGAGGCAGCATCATCAGTAACTTCACAGTAGAAGACACTAGGGCACGGGGGCTTGGGTATCTGGTTAGCAGGCAAGTGCTGGTGCATCCTGCCAAGCCCCTTCTAGGCTGACCATGCTGTGGCTACTGTGCCCAAACTCCTACCCTCACCAGGGAGTTGTCCTGCTATTCCCTGGATTCTCCAGGCAACTGGAGATCATCAGGCCACGGTTGGGTGGCCTCGTAGGCAGGAGGGGATAAAAATCAGGTATCCAGACTCAGTCTGGGACTGTATCAGATGGGATTGGTCCTATGTACAGGTGACATCCAAGGCCCCCCTTCTTAGAACAGCAGTGAGCTTGGGTATTCATGCACAGTGACTGGGCATAGAGGGGCATCCAAGGCTTCAGGGCTCTGGCCGTGAAAGAGAAGTCACTGCAACCCCCGCTCTGTCCCCTGGGGTATTTCCTGTCCCTCAGCCCATTGCCTGTCCACCAGGCCCATTTCCCTATCACTGTCTCCTTCCTGTCCCCTGACATCCCCTCCCCTCCTGTCATCTATCCCTGGTCAAACTCATTCCTTTAGCAGAGGGGTCTTATCCATAGTTAAGAGACAATTGCCTCATGTTGCTGTTCCCTGGGTGATAGCAACCTCCCATGGGTCTGAGGTAACAAACCTCCTACAGGGTGTCTGTGTCCCCCTGTATACAGGACACATATCTGTGCAAATATGCTATAAGTCCACACTCCACTGAGATCTCTGGGGGGGGTCCCTCATAAGGAGGTACATTTATAGGGGCCAAATGGGGTGTAGAGGATCCAGGGTATGTCACAGTCCAGAAGGGAACAGGATACAGTGTGGACACCTGCCTGTGGGCAGAATGGGAACCACTAAAGAATGGCTTGAGGGATGCTGGGGGGGTCACCTGTATAGGGGTGGCTGGGGAGCGAATCCTGAGACACCTCCTATACACCTCCTATAGGCCAGGCCTGCTGCTGGGGCCTAAGATGTCACTTTCTGCCTCTGAATGATATGTCTGAGGCCATGCCCTAGATGGCCACCAGGTGGCAGTCCTCACCCAGGGAGGACTCCTGCCAGAACGGGTTTCAGAGGGCCCAGGAGAGCTAGAGATGGGACCAGCACAGTCAGGTCCAAGGCAAACTCAGACCCCACGGAGGGGTCTATCCAGGCATACCCACTAATTCCTGCCTTTCTCAGTCAAATCTGTCAAGGCCTGGGCAGCTACACTAGTTAGCAGAGTCCCAGGTCTTGAATCTCAAAGGTCAGATGTGTACCTGAGTGAATGTCCAGTACCTGGAGCCAACACTCAGCAAGGGCCTGTGCATGGGGCTAGCACAATCTAGATTGTGCACAATCTCAGGCTGGCCCCACCCTGACTGTACCTAGAGCACCAGGGTCCAGCCTGTCCCACGAGCTTGGGGGCAGATCTACCCAGGAGAACAGCTGCCACACCTGCTGTGAGGTCTCACTTTGGAGATTGCAGAGTCCATCTCCCTGACCTTCTCTTGCTACTCTCAGGCTCTGATTTCCAGCCTTTTCTGTAAACCCAAGCTGGAGAGGAGGGTACAGGTGGACAGAGCTCAGGGGGATCACATGGGGGCTGTTCTCTATTCTCCCTATGGTCTGCGGTTAACATTCCTTGGGTGCCCATATCCTCTGCCGGTGCTGGAGGGCCCTCCGCCCATTATCTGCCTAATACAACCCTCCCTGGGGTGTGTACCAGCACTGTTGTCCTCTGTGGAGCTTCCACAGGACTCACCCTCCACACAGCCTGCTGCCCATACCCTCACCCCCATCCTGTTGCCTGCTCTACTCTAGCACAGTAACAATGGGGCCCAAAACACTGACTCGTTCATTCAGTGGGAAACTGAAGCCAGGGAGTTAGAATAATTATATGATCCAGGCAAACGGCCATCAGGGGCAGAACCCAAGAGCCACCTCCCTGCTTTCTGCCCTAAGCAGCTAGGACCCCTGAGGGAAAGTCCCCTCCAGCCTCAAATCCTGGCTCAGGTGTGTGCACCCTTGTGTTGGTTAGTTTTTTGTCAACTTACTACAAACTAGAGTCACCTGGAAAGAGGGAACATCAGTGGAGGAATTTCCTTTATCAGATTGACCTGTGGTCATGCTTTGGAGCATTTTCTTGATTGCTGATTGATGTAGATGGCACTATGGGCAGTGATATCCCTGGGCAGGTGGGCCTGGGCTGTATAAGAAAGATAGCTGGGTGGGCTGGAGAGATGGCTCAGCGGTTAAAAGCACTGTCTGCTCTTGCAAAGGACCCAGGGTTCGATTCCCAGCACCCACATGAAGGCTAACAACCCTCTGTAACTCCTGTCCCAGGGGATCAGATGCCCTCTTCTGACCACCGTAGACATTGCATGAAAAGGATGCACTTACACACATGCAGGCAATACACTTATACACATAAAATACTAAAAAAAAAAAAGAAAAAAAAAAAGGAAGATAGCTGGGGGCTGGAAAGATGGCTCAGTGGGAAAGCACACTGACTATTCTTGCAGAAGGCCCTGGGTTCAAATCCCAGCACCTGCATGGCAGCTAACAACCATCCATAATTCTAGTTCTGGAGGATCTGATGCCTTCTTTTTTCCTCTGCAGGCACTGCATGGCAAAGGTGAACTTATACACATACAGACATAATACTCATACACATAAAATAAAAATAAATAAATTTTTATAAAAAGATAGCCAAAGTCAAACATGGTGGTGCACGCCTTTAATCCCAGCACTCGGGAGACAGAGGCAAGCAGATCTCTGTGAGTTCAAGGCCAGCCTGGTCTATATAGTGAGTTCCAGGTCAGCTGGGGCTACAGGGAGACCCTGTCTCAAAAAGACAAAGAAAAAAAAAAGAAGGAAGGAAGGAAGCTAGCTGAGCAAGTGAGGGGAAGCAGGCTGGTGCGCAGTGTTTCTCCACGGCCTGTGCTTCAGTTTCTGCCTCCAGGTTCCTGCTTTGAGCTTCTTTCCTTGATGATGGACCATAAGCTTTAAGACAAAATAAACCCTTTCTTTTC